TTTTAGCCTTTTTTCATACAGATCTAGCCTCTTGCTAGCAGTGTTTCAAACTGCACTTTGTGTTGGTTGGCTGACTCGTCCCCGCCTCTTTCCTTCGTTTGCTTTTTGGCTATAAAAAAAAAATTGAAAAACCCTTCGCTGCCTGGCATTCAACCCAAAGCTTCTCGGCCACCAGCACCGCCTCCACCAACAGCACGAGTGCTTTCGCAAGAATATTAATTCAAACACAATTCCAAAATATATTAAAAATCGAAATTGTAAAAAATATACATGAAGCTAAATGCCAAATTTTGAAGGCCCAGCTCCTTACACTATAATAAATAAATAAAAAATAAATTATAATGATTGATGAAATTATATTTAAAAAAAAAAAGAGTAAGAAAGAAAAAATCATTTATAGATTCATCAATTTTTGGTTAAATTTTCCTTTTTTTTTAATTTTCTCTTGCACATATTTTCGTCTCTCTCATTTCCATCTACTTTTTTAGCGTTAAATAGTTAACGGCACTGCTCATGGATGTGTGCTGGGGCTTGTCGGTATGTTTGTGTGTGTGTGCTGGTGCTTGTCGGTATGTTTGTGTGTCTGTCTGGCACTTAGTTACTGCGACACTCTGTCTACTGATAAAGTGCAAGCAATCGAAGCTCCAAAGGCAAAACAATAGCAATACAAACACAAAGACATGAGCAAACTAAACACACAAGTGTGGCAAATTATTATTAGGGAGCGTAATATTGCCAGTAACAACGATGGCAACAGCAACAATAGCCAGAGCACCTATAACGAACTAACAATAAACGGGTAGACAGCTAAGTCCAAGCTGCTGCTGCTAGCTTAATAAGAGATTATTGATAAGACTTGGCATACGTCTAAATAGAATCATTTTCACAATTATCGTTATCTTGGCTTTACTCATTATGAAAGTGAAAAACAGACTCAAATAGAATGAGCGTTACATATAAATAGTCAAAGAACTATATGGATTGATAGTTGCTCACTATATCTATAGAAGATGAAGAAGATGTTTTAGCATTTGATATAAATGAAAATTGTATAAAAATAGACAGAGCCATGGGCAATATCAAAATAAGCAGATGTGCATCATTCCCACTCTGGCAACTGTCCAAAAGCCTTTTGCTGTGTGACGGTATAACGACTGGCACACTGACTGACAGACTGACTGACGCCTTAACCGAGTGTTGATTGATTGACTAACTGACTTACTGCTGAAATGCAGTTGATTGACTGACTGAGAGAGAGTGAGAAGTATAGCTCTTTAAAGGTATCATTATCGATTGATGGGCTGAGAGCTATTTTTGATTGATTGGTTGACAAGTTAGAAAGTGCGTTGACTGAAAGTTTGATGATTGATGAGACTGACTCTGAGAAGCTGAAAAAGTAGAAACTCTGATTGACTTGGCTTTTAGCTATAATTAAAGCTTGATAGACTGACGAAGTATCTGCCTAATTGATGGTCTGATTGGCTGATTAAGTAATACTAAATCTTCATTCTAAGCTGCTATGTAGTAAGTTCCATATGTATGCAGAATGCGATTGACAGTGATTAAAATTACTTTTCTGACTGACTAAACTCTGATTGAACAACTAAGTAATTGTATAATGCACTTTTAATTAAGTAATTGAGTAATTGAGTACTGCAGCTTTGCTTCTGTCTGAATTGAGTGAGTGATTGATTGATTGATTGTCAGATTGATTGACTAATAGACTGAGATAAGTCTTTGGTCTGCCTGACCGAATGACGAAATAACTAATTGAATTCCGTATGCGTATACTAACTGATTGCCCATCTGATTGACTAAATTCTTCTTATAAACATATAGATAGTGTGACTGTCCGATTGACTAAATTAAAAAGTTGACTAATGCAGTTTCTTCTTATCTATAGCGAATGACCATCTGCGAGTCTGATTCACCATCTGGCTGAAATGCGCAACGAAAAATTGCATCAGATTAGTTTTAGTTACACTTTGGCTCGACTCAAAACGAATTCGCCAACATTTTCGACATTTTCAGCATTTCATTTAATGACTTGTGCAATTTAATTGCAGATGCGGAAGTTAGTCTAAATATTTAGTATATTTAGTGTTTACATTTATCTATAAAGCTTCGCCGCGTATTGCGACATGCTTCAAATGTATTTTTGTTATTTATATATACATAAATATATGTGTTATGTGTGAAAAGCTATAAAAAAGAATAAATAGAATTCTATCTATGTGGCATGTGCGTGCCATTTAGTCAGCCAAATTCAGTAACAGAAATAAATACTCTACTTTATTCGCCTTTCTTCATATTTTTTTATTCATACTTAAATTTATAATTTAATTGATTTGGCTGAGTACATAAACTTTTCTAAAGACTCGTAAATGCCAACAAAGCACTTCCCAATGATTTATAATAATACAAACGTTAATTTCTTAGATAGAATCCGATTTAATGCGATTCTACTTAGAGTTCACTCAACTATTTATTTTATATAGTATTTATATTTTTATTTACTAATTGGCAGCTTTTAGAGAGGATTTAACACTGCCTAACCAAATAGAATTTTTCTTATGTGTTCTAGGGAAAGTTTTTATTGTAGATTTCTCTATCCCTCTATTCATCTATTTACATGTTTCTTTATTTAATTATCTCTCTATTTATCTATCTCTGTAGCTTTGTATGTTATGTGTTTATCTCCTCAGCCCGCTTCTCTGTATCTAGTTCTCTCTTTCTACAAACACATGAATCTGTCTTTGTCTTTCTATCCCTATGCAACAGATGAGGTGTCCCACTTTGCTATGCCAAACAATATTTCACTCTAAAATAGTCTTTAAATATTTTAAATATTCTTATCGACTTCATTTGTATTGCTACAAAAACGCAATAGGAATAATAGAAGCTGAATCACTCTGGAGCTTTTTGCTGCTTATCAAACTAGCCGAAAAATTAAAAGGGAAAAAATGAGCATAGAAATTGCGCAGTATTTGCATAGTTTGAATGCTCCTTTCATTCTCTTCCAATTAAAAGTTTTATTTAATAAAATTGCTCCTGCTGTTAAATGAAAATCCACATGGATTCAGGTTGTTCATTTTTCTACTATATTGTGATAATATTGTGAAAGCAAATTCCATCCCTCATTGTTCAGCAAAACTATTTGTTTGCTTCAAAATGAAAAATATATGTGGCAAGCATATCATAAAAGTATTCACAGCTATTTTTTCTGTTTTTTTTATGACGTTTGTATACCCCAACAATCTGGAGTCTGTGAAGTAGAGTCTAATAAGTTGCTGATGGTTACTTCTGAATATTATATTGAGCTAAGTATTATTCTATTATAATTATTATATTTATTATATTCGTTTTTTGTTAAGAAATTAAATAATAATCAATTAATTGTTATAATATTGTTATCATATTTTATCATTTTTTTATCATATTTTAAGCTCTTTACATTTTTTTTATAATAATTTATATTTTTATTATTTATTTTTAAATTTAAATTTTGTATATATTATTTTTTTCTTTTAACATTAGGAAAGAGTATTGAAATTTGAGCATTGCCTGTTATAAAACTCAATTCTTTTTCTATCTTTTTTTGCAATGCTTTTGCAGTGCAAAGATATTAAAATTGGAAGTCATAGAGAGGGAAGAGAAAAAGGGCGAGCGGGCAGCTACAAAGGAAATCTATGCAAGTTGTATTTGTACCTGTGTCCATCCCTCTCTAACTGTCTCTTTGTCTGTCCCTATCTCTCTCTCTCTCTCTCTATCTGCTCTTTCATTTCAGCAAAGCAAATGTAAGCGATGCTAACAATAATTAATTTAACTACATTTATGACATGATATGTGAAACATATTTGGATCTCTAATTAGTCTAGACTTTACAATGAAACAAAACTCAAACTCGACTCGTGCACAACACAACACTGTGTGCAGGTGTGTGTGGGTGTGTGTGGGAGTGCATGCGTGTGGACAGAGTTGAACTGGCCCGCAGCTATTTGCAAAAATTCAATTAGTTCATGAATTACACCGAAAACCGAAACAAACAGGCGAAAGCAGCTCATTATGAATGTTGATTTCCCTTACAGCCATTTAGTCGATTTAAACGTGGCAAACACAGCCTCTGCCTCCGCCTTTCTCTCTCTCCCTCTCTACCTCCTCGATACATGCAACCAACTGTGGCAGTCAATTATACGCACATCCATTGGCGATCAACAAAATAATTATGATAAATTCGAAAAACTTTGAATGGCAGCTAAACTCCATTGTGGATTTAATCCTATAAATAGCTGCCTAAACCAAATTAGTTATGTTTGGCAAAAGAGACATTAGCTGAGCCGACCTAAATGATTTCGGTTTGCGGTAGATAAAGTGCCAAATGAAATCAGGTTATAATTGATAATAACATTAAATTATTATTACATCAAAAATTTAGAAAAATCTAGGGCTAACAATATTTTCAGTCGAATGCGCAATTACTATTTAGCCCGGTTTACAAACCAACACAAATGACCAGAAGCTAGATCAAGCTCTCAATGGAGCCGACTTGCACTCTAAACTTGAAGCACGTCTTATACAATCTGCCAAAGACAGTGGTATGTAAACATATAAATATTTATAAGAAAGTACTGAAACTTCTCTCTCTCTCTCTCTCCAAAGACTGGAAGTTAGCTCAAGTCGTAAGGTTAGTTAGTCTGTCCTCGGTCTTATACAAAGACATGAAATTAGTCTTAATAATTCTCTCTTATATACCCAGTCTTTCAATCGTATAGACAAGTATGTCTTATACATATATATACACTTAAACACACTTCTAGATTATACATTAGTTGGATTGGTAAAGATGAAATTGTTAGTTATTGTTATCTGTTATCTACTTCTTCGGGCTACGGTCGTTCACTCTTGTATTTGAGTATGTCTTATACAGTCTGTCGCTAACACTATGAACTCTTTAAATCATATTGTTTTCAATATAAATAATATATCAGTATTTTACTTACATCTTGTGAGATTTGTCCCATTTCCGCGTAATAATCAAAAGCCGAGTACATTGGTGTGTGTTGAGCCGCTGATAAAGTTAATTGTATGTATGTGTGTGCAGACGAATACCAGTTCCAGTTACAGTTACTGGTTTTTTACTGTAAAGGAAATCGTCAGAGTCAGCGTGGTCGCTTTGTAGCTAAAGGAGCTGCCTGACTCGTTGTCATTCACAATCTAGATTTCTCTCGCTGCTCTCTCCTCCTCCTGTCTCTCTCCCGCGCTCTCTCTCTCTCTTTCTCTCTCGCACTGTTTGATTGTAAAGTAAGTTTTCACTTGCAGAATTTCGTTTTCGGTGGAACGCCTTTTTACTCTCCTCGTTGATTTTTGCTGTTGCTGTTGCTGTTGCTGTTGTTGATGTTGTGGTTGTCGGGGCAATTAAGGCAACTGCCTTGGCTTTGACTTTTGTGCAACAGGCGGTCGACCAAACGAAAAATAAAAAACCCAGAGCCACTCTGGCTCTGGAAACGAGTCAAAGAAAGGCAGAAACGTCAACAACTTGAACTTCGGCTCTTGGTCAGGAGTTGTTTTTGTAGTTAAAATTCAAACAGAGATTGAGTTGCTGCAGTTGCTGCAGTTGATGGCGTTGCTGTTCAAGCAGCTTGAGGCTTGTTAACGGATTATGATTCAAACACTTGTACGTATGACTGCGAGACTCGCGCTTCCTCTTCAGCTGTTCTCTAGAAACGTTTGACTCGTCGCATGCACTACTAAGATAATTGCAATAGTTGTTTGCATTGGTTTTCATTGGAATCAGCTTGCCGCCTGGCCGAAATCACTCTCACTCACTACTGGGGCGTATCTTGAACTGTAAAAAGAGACAACAAGGGAAGCAATACGATTAGAAAATGTTAACGGCAGCAATTAAATATAAAATATCAAGCGCACAAAAATAAAACTTGATTAAGGCAAGGGAAAAGAAGTAGGACTGTTGTCGTCGCCGCTGACCGACTAGCAGATACCTTGACCATAGCTGTTTTTCCAATTGTTCACTACTTCCTGCTTACAAGACCTCTTCACTCACATGACGAATAGCTTCAAGTCTTACTCAGTTTCTGCCTTAAGAATATAATTTTACTTTATGGTATCGAACACGTCTCCTTCTGCCTGGTACATACATCTGAACAAAGACATCAAGACCCGTTGACTCATTCGAGTTGAGCATATAAAATAAAGTCGAATGACGTTTACTCACTCCCATTTCAGCTGTGTTTTAGAAGTTCCCCTTTATATACAGTATAAATGTGATGTGAATTTTTGCAAATATGTATAAAAATATTGCTTTGTGTAATTTGTAACCTTAATAAGCCGCTTGATTGTGCATTGTGAGACATGTTGAAAACAACAACAACAACAAAAGAGGATTCTTATGCAAAATGTGGAGCTGTTGCGAAACGAAAATGAAACACGTATATCGCAATTAATCATTTTATTTCGAGCACTATCCTTTGTCTTGGCACCAATCAGATGTTTACCACGCGTATACGTGATTTAAATGAAAACACAGGCATACGACCTGTTGTCCTACATCATTGAATATCAGGCAATTGAATATTCTAGTAGTTGCTGCAGCTGCTGTTGCTGCTGCTGTTAGTGTTGTTGGTGTAGTGCTTGTTGCTAAGTACTACGCAGAATATTTATGCTTACAGTGAGCTTCATTTGCATTCTGTTTGCCTTTCTCTCCCTGTCTCCCCCTCTCCCTGTGGGGATAAACAAAATGCATGTGCATGTGATAAACAATTCAAATTGTCGTCGTTGATTGTGTGTTTGGGTGTTGGCTGTTCGCTGTTGGCCGCTGGCCAGTGGATGCCATTATAACTTATTTTTTTGCTAATTAATAGGGTAAACCAATAAACAACAGATGCCGCAACAACAATCTGTCAACAGTCAACACCACAAGTCGAATTTTTTTATAAATTTATCTGCCCTGCACCCAGAGCAAAACAGGCAAGGCAACCAAGTATATTGGTTCTGTATGTCACAAAAATAAATGATTATATAAGCACTATCAGAGTGCAAGAGCATAAGAGTTTAAGAGCATAAGAGTATAAGAATATATGAGTATAAGAGTATATGAGGGGAATAGTATGATAGGAGAATAGTATAAAAGAATCTGAGTAACACGAAACGAGTATTCCATAGTTAGGGTATCTCATAGTCGTGCTCTCTAGACTTAAGCAGTTTTACTTGTTTTTTTTTCTTATTCTCTTTTTGTTCATGCGGTTTTTTCGGCGCGCATCTGTCAACAGCCGCAGCTGGAAATTGTGACTGGTGCTTGACAGATCGACTGGGCGTGGCTGAAGGCTGTGCCACGCCTACATATTTACATAACTATATATAGAGTGGGCAGCGGATCAGAGTCGCTGGCACTGAGTAAATCGCTGAAGCGTTTGCCCGTCTCCATAAAATTTATTAATTTTACAATAACAAAGTCGAAACGCAAAAAAACAATAACAAAACTGAAATAGAAAACTTTGCAGCGCTTTGTTATTGTCATTTGAGTATTATTGTAGCTATTGTTGTTGTTGCCGCCTACAAAGTCACGTTCGCCGTCCATGCTGTTGACATTGTTGCTGCGCTGGCTTCGATCAAACCGCAAAGATTATAATCGATGCGATGATATAAATTACAAGCCCAAGCCGACGTTGAAGTCGCTGAGACGTAGCTTCGCATGCAAAGCAAATAACAAAACGTAATAAACTTGGACAGAAATGCATGAAAATGGAAAAGACTTAAGATCCGAATGAGATATTACAAGTAAAAGCAGTGCAAGGCGTTTATTATCTATTCTTAATTAGTATTTTGATTATCACAGAAATCATAATAATAACGGCGATTATCACGGATATAATCATAATGATGGATTAGCGAGATCGTATTAATGATTAATATGGTACTAAATATATATGATTATTATACTGTCATCATGGATACAATGAGCTTCACTAACATAATGTTCATTAACAACATAATCATTATCATGATGTTCACTAGCATCATGATCATTATTATCACGATCGTAATCATCATAATGTTAATGTTATTATGAATAATATTTTAAAAAAATTAAAGTCTCAAACAAAAATTATTTAATTAAACAAAATAAATTATTATTGAATACACTAATTATTTAAATAGAAATTACAAACAAATTAAAATGGTTAATAATTATTAAACAAAAATATAATATAATAATTACCAAAATTCCACTGCACTTCACTGCGACTGATCAGCAGGAGATCAACGATGCAACTGAAGAAACTCAGCGCAAGGCTCGCCCTTTTATAGAGTCAACAAATGTCACTCAAATGAAGTCAGAACTCTTAAGCTCTTCACTTCTTGAGCTCAATTAACTGAGTGACTTGTTTTGCGCGCTCGCAAAGAAAGCTGAGTGTATTGGCTTCTTGAACAAATGGAAGATGGAGATGTTGTAATAGATGGAAAGATGGACGGATAGAGGGACCTTGAATATAGAACACATATTTACTATATAAACCCTGTTTGCGGCTATGCACTTTTAGAGACGTACTCTGTCACTCTCTCTCTGAGTCATTTGTTCTCTGAACACATATTTGTTTTGTCGATTGAATGAAAGGAATATAAAATGGATTTTAAGAGTTCTCTTTGGAGTGACCATAGAGACAGAATAGAGAGACAGAACTCTCGAAACTGAGTGAATTTTCTTCTCAGAGCTTTCAGGCTTCATGCATTAATAGACAAGGTAAGCAGAAAAAGAAAAAGAAATGTAGTCAGAACTGTTGAGTGCTCTGCTAGATTATTTTCCTTAGAAGTATAATTCCAAAGTCTTTCGCCGAGTAAGTTACTCTTTGAGTACGTACACTGATCTTCTCTATATGACCATAGAGAAAGTAATTGAAGCCTACATATCCTGGTTAAGAAGGGCAGCAAAAAAGCAAAGCAGCTGTTTGTCTTTGCATCAAAAAATATTTTTTAAATTTTTAATTTGGGCATCTAAAATAAAAAAATAAAAAAACTATATAAACGGAACAAAATTTGAAAGCGTCTTGAGCCGCTGCGCGAATCTCAGTCTCAATTCCAATTGCAATCGTAATCGCAATCGCAGTCCGAAAATGAATCGAAATATCAAGATGTGCAATGGAGATTGCTGCATGCTCAAGACGGCATTGCAGATACGTCGAATGAAGCTGCTGATTGAGAAGCAGCTGCAGAAGGAAGCGAATGCCAAGCCCAAGAACATAATTGTCACGCCTCAAAGTTCCCTCTATAGCTACGAAGATGTGCAGAATATGGCAAAATATATAATCAATAGGGCGGAGAAGAAACCAAAGTACGGATTGATTTTCGGCTCGCATATGAATAAGCTGTCCGATTTGGTCGACAGTCCAACTGTCCTGGAATATACGGACATACCGAAGTTTCCGATCAGCCCACTGCACGGCACCAATTGCAAGATGTTTGTAGGCGAACTGATGGGCGGCCCAGTAATTGCAATCCAAGGACGCCTGCACTATTACGATGGCAATCCGTTCGGCAGCTGTGCGTTGCCTGTGCGCATGTTGAAGCTATGTGGCGTCGAGTATCTGTTTCTTATCTGCTCTGCGGGTGCAATCGCTGCGGATTGCAAGGTGGGCGACGTGGTGGTCATTAAGGATCACATCAATATGTTCGGCTGGGGTGGCAACTGTCCATTGGTGGGGCCGAACGATGTCCGCTTTGGGTCACACAATGTCACAATGACTAATGCCTACGATGAGAAGCTGATCGATCGGGCAATGGAGATAGCTCGTGAAATCGGGCAAGATGATCGAGTCAAGTGCGGCGTCTATGCCTGCGTGGGTGGACCAGCCCTTGAGACACCGGCCGAACATCGCTTCTTGCGCAAAATTGGAGCTGATGTTATTGGCATGTCCATTGCGCCAGAGGTCAGCCTGATTGACAGACTCTAAACAATATTTAATAATACATTTATCCCTGCAGGTAACTGTCGCCAGACACTGCGGCCTTAAAGTATTGAGCCTCACTGTGATCACTGTGCCCAGCATTGATGTAGCCGCACCTCCGCAAAACGACTATGCGTCGCTACTGAGCGAGGGAAGACATATTTCGAGCGAACTCGTTTCGCGCATCATTTATAAAATACAAAATAATTTGTAAATTAAATACAAAACCAGAAATGTAAATAAAACAGACTACCTTAGTCAAACAATGCGTATACGTAGCTCACGCATTTGCCCCGAATGCATAAAAAGAAAAATTCAATTTCAATTTATTTAGGGTAAGCGACAACTTTAAATTATTTCATTAAACTTTACAACGAATAAAACTTTGACAAACCTCCAGGGTAATCGTCATCCGGCAATAAAATATAGATTTAAAAGAATTGTAATTGACTTCAATTCAGCTTAAACTGCTATTGACAGCCCCACGGCGCGTATACGTAACGTTACCTGCACATTACGCATACGCAGCGTATACAATATTAATTATTATACAATATTAACTCGACAATCCACAAAATACATTTAATTTCATTTAATGGAAGCTATTTCATTTCATATTTTAATTTCATTTTATTCAAAAAATATGAAATGGGAAAATGCATAAAAAATCAATAAAATCACATTTAATTGTAATTAATCCAAGCTAAGCCCTCAATTTCTCTCCCTTTTTCCACATATATGTACATATATATACTTGATTTTGGCAGGCACTCGTTGCTTGCATATCGCGCATACGCATCGTAAGCCGAGAGGGGTTACAAATAATGCTAGACTCGCACTTATTGCTGCTAATTCCGACTGTTGCTGTGGCAACAACAACTCTGACGCAAATCGCATACTCATATAACTGTATATATTTATACTTATATAGAGATTGGTATACACACACACAAACACACAGCTTACATTGGTGCTGTTGATTGCTCTTGCGGTTTGTCATTATTACATTAACTAACGCTTGATAGCTTTTACCTTGCATTCAGGTTCAATGACTCTTGAAATTGTGAAACTAAACATATTAATGAATAAGACAACATATATATTTGTTCCACCTTTGTTATTGTTAGCTAACTTTGTATATATATATAAGTTGAGCTGATAACTTATTGCAAATGGAGAATCTGATGTAAAATCATTAAATTTGTACTCATTGCCATATCCCACTCTGAACACTTGTTCAATAGTGTTCAGAAATGTTCCAATTGCAAGCCACAGTCAACTCTGATAAGCCCTAACACTTGACATAACTAATCTTATTTATCATATATCTGATATCGAGAAACAAGTTCAAAATTATAATTTCAATGATGCTGAAGACGCTGAGATATATATCGCATATATATAATGTACAGTTCAGTTATTTCAACAAGAGCAACACCTCCGCTCCGATGGAACTCTCTTTCAATGAATCTATTCTGAATTCAGTTTAGTTCTTTTGTGAAGGAAGTATGAGAGTAGGAAGTATGGTAGACATAGATATAGAACATATATATATACGCATAAATAAATAGCAAACCCTCATTTGTGGCTGACTAGTTCAGTGCACTGAACATTGCACATTCGAAATAGAAGAAAAAAGATGTAAAATCAAAGCATTTGAGAAATTTGTGCGTGAATTTCAATGTGCCAACAATTGAAATGCCCATGCATCAGCAGCTGATTGATAGCTGTATATATATAAATCCGCATATATAGTATATATATATATATATATATATATATATATATAGCCTAAGCACATGCACCAAATAGTTTTTGGCATTGTTTCAACTGCCGCAACGTGCACATCTGTCGCTACTTTGTAAATTGATTTATCGACAGCGGGAGGCGGACAATGGGATAAGCAGCCAGAAGGACTGAGGGACAGGCGGACAAACGGAAAGACAGACAAATAGTCGCTGAGTGCATTGCCAGTTGAAATGGCAGCCCAGCTGCGCACTCTAAATAGCAATGCGTATCGAAATAAACTGCCTCATTTGCCGAATGCAAAGGCAACTGTATCAGAGTCGCCAATTGAGTCCTTTCCTGGTTAAATTTAAAGAGAAAAGAGAAAGAGAGTGAGAGAGAGGGACAGAGTGGGAGAGAGTAAATGCAGTTTATTGGTTAATAAATCATGTTGGCCAGTGTAATTGAATCAGCGTTTATTTTAATTGTAAATGTTTTCACATAAAGCCTTTCAGTCTGGCTGTCAAAGACAGTCGTCTGACTCTTCCCTTCCACCTCCCACTCCAGCTGCCTTTCTCTCTCTCTCTTTTAACTTTTGATATTTTACAATTGTGGCAAATAAAGATTTTCGACCTCGTTAGTCCTTTATTTCAGCTGTTTGTCATGTCCTGCCTACCTGACAACTTGTCCAAAACAGTGGCAAGGCTTTATACAATTCGAAAGGATGGCTCAAACATGCCAGCATCGCTACTATTTAATTTAAGTATAATTTAAGAATATGTAACTTGTTGTTTTCTTGTTATTTCTCTTCTAGTTGCAAGACATAAACAACGAGTCACGCAGACCAGAAATAGACGTGCAAAAAGTATCAGAAACTATTTCACAAACTTGCCAAATACCAAGAGAAGCGCACTGCAGTCGGGTATACACAGCTGCTTAATACTTTCTCATGTTACAGTAGTACAAGCCTTTAATCAACGGAGTAGGTCAAAAACTGTTAAGCTCTGGTTTCTCTGGGTTACAACCGGTTATATATCAGGAACACATTTTTTCAAAACTAATACGGACTTTATAAACGAGCATAGGCACTCGACTCGCACGTATGCCAAGTATTGTGCTTGTGATTGAGCTACCACCTGCCACATGCCACACACTAGCCACCAGGTAGCAGTCAGCAGGCAGCAGCATCGCAATGAACTAATTGAATTTCCGCTTTACTCTTGAGTTAAGCATTAATGCTTCAATTAGCTGCGTAATCAACTCATTTGCAAATTAAAATCCATTTATAATTATTATCAAACCTCCTTGAAATCAAGTGTAGCGCAAGATGCAGGGCAGCACACTCACCCACACACACTCGAGGGCAATTGAATCGTTCAAGTGGTAGCCAAGCTAATTGTAACTGCTTCCCATTTAAATACCAAGTGACAATAAAAAGTACTGAAATTAACTTTACTATTAAATAATACTTATTTAGACACAATTTATTTAATATTTTTCATATTTCCGTATATTCTGTATATTTTTAAATTTTTTTAATTTATGTAATTTATATTTATAAAGTATTAAAAAAAATTAAATGACATTATTTTAGAACTTCATTTTATTTTAAAAATTTTAATAAATAACATTTATTTTTGTATATATTTTTATTTTTTAATAATACAATTTCTCTACTTTATGTGCTTCAATTTCTTTATATGATTCTATATTTTATCTAATTGCTGAGTCTATTTAACTTATTATTCACACAATGAGAATGCAGATATATGTTTTTGTTTTTTATTTATTCAACGGCTGCTTGATATTTTTTGTGCCCGTTACCAGGTGCGAAGACAACAACAAATAGAGCCCAAACTGATTAGATTAACAATATATAATTCATAATGTTTATAGCTGCTCGATCGTTTGTCAATCAATCTTGATTAGCAATATCAGGTTTTATTTCTGTATCTCCCCCCACTCCGCAGTGTCCACCTGCCGCTAAAGCGTTGGCAACTAAGGTAAGTATTCGATTTTTGCATGGCAATCAATTAAGCGTTTCGTTTCATTAACTAAATTCGCACCACAAGCCAAATCGCTTTGCCATAAACAAGACCCTAAAATTGAGATCACGAAGCTCAAAAACTTTGGAATGTCTAATTGAAAACGAGTTGGGAAAACTGAGAGAAACTCTGGCAGCAGCAGAAGCAACAAATTTCCGAATATTCAGAATACTAGCCACAATTGTAATAGGCAAAAGGCAAGGTGAGTGAGAATGGCGTAATTAAAAGCAAACTTTGAAGTCCAACAAAAACAAAAGCCAAAATAAAAGCCCAAATCGAGCTGCAACCGGAGTAAGCACCAGAAAAACATGGAACAACAACAATGAAGGCTGCACGTAGCAGCATCTAGTAGGAAGTGCCCAACTAGCAGATACCCTAAGCTACTTCTCGTATTTGAGCTAATCTAAATTTGCTCAAATTTGCTGACTGCGCCTTATAAAACTCGCGAGATATGAAATTAAGATTGTTATCGATTTTTATCGATATTGTGAAATAAACTTAACCTACGTGACGGACACAAGTGCTCTTTTACTCAGTTTGTTTTTACTCTTATATTTTGTGAATCTTATACTGCTACACTAAGTTTAACTCTTATATTCCAATGCTTATATTGTTCGAAAGCTACTTTAAAGTCGGCCCCTATTGCTATTAACTCTTATACTCATTTAATTCTCTATTATTATAATCATGTATTTCAATAGACTGCATTACAAATCAAATTGAATGCTAAATTTATGATACCCTTATTTTTCATAATCTGATTTTCAGTGCGTGGGCTCTACAGGTAAATTTTTGAACATTGTTCACTTGGCTTCACTCCAGCTTCTAGAGTCAGCCAAGTTCTTGCCGTTGTTGGTTACTGATACTGCAGCAAGTTCACTCACCTCAGTTTGAGACCATTGAAATGACAGCAATGCAAGGTTAGTAAGCAAAGCAACAGACCTTGTTGCAACTTTTGTTGTCATCTTTTGATGCATATGCGATATGCATCACATATTTCATTTTCAAACCAGAAGAATTGTCATCACTGTTAAACTAATGACCGTTGAAAATTGATTGTTGATTAATTTTCATTTGGTCTTCCCGGTGGCAGGCAGCACAAACACTCAAGAGGCGCTTAAAATTCAATGAAATATAGTTACAGACACACTTGAAGCAGTTTAAGTGACTGACACACATACACCCACAGGTATGGCTAGCTTAGCAACAGAGACGTAGTGAGAGAAAGAGGTCGCGACAAAATAAAAAAACAGTTATTCAACTGCAATATCTATGTATGTGCGTCGCGCTCTCTTGGGTTGTTGGCATGGCAACAATTGATATCATAATTGGCATAAACTGCTTCAGTTCTCTTTTAGTTTTTTTTTGTTTTGTGTGTTTTGTATTTGTTTCTTTGTTTTGCGTTCTCATTGCCAACCCCCTAACCTTACTCTCACACACTGGCGCTGTCTCTCTCTGGCTCTCTTCCTTCGCCTAAATGTTAATGATTGAATGGTAGCTTACTGCAAATTATAAATACTTTCACACGCACAACTACACAAATATGCATGTGTGTGTGTCGCAGCTACAACAACTAAAGGCATCACCTGATTGTGGATTTAATTTATGATTTGTAATATGCATGTGTATGCCTATGTCTGCGTATGCGTGTATGTGTATAACTACACTCTGATAATACAAAACATTGTAAATGTGATTAAAAGTGCTGAATATTTTATTTACTTTTGTTTTTTTTTTTTAGCTAATTGAAAATCCAGCTTAAAAAGTTACTCTTAATTAATTTAGAGCTTGTAAAAGGATTCTCTGCAACTCAATATTAGCACTAACTTCCACGTACTTAAAGCTCTGCGGTTTATCTAAATAATCAGCTCTGGAAAATCATACACTTCACAACATAAAAATGTTGGTTAGCTTGTTGACTTGTGGAATGCACCAGCACAAACAAACATCAAGACAAAAAAGATTAGAGGTCAGCAATAATAAAAATCAAAAAATTCAAAGTGTCAAAAACAAGTGAGATATACCTAATGAGCGACAATTAAATACCCTGTAAATGCTGACGACAACTAACTAATATAATATTATACCCCTGTTTTGCACAGTGTTGAACTGGGCATCCGCTACGTAATGGCAGAAAGCAAAATGAAGAATCTGCTGACTCTTGCCCACTTGAAAGCACACACATTAATATGTTTGTACATATACGTATGCATGTACGTACAATTGTAAGAGTTAATGAAATAAACGGCAAAAGAAGCGAAGAATTTGTTGCTTAATTTAGATTTGCGTGTGGTAGGTCAAGTGGCAAATTTTCTCAACATATTTTCGGTTGTTTTTTGCTCTATGCTCGTTCATGCGGTGAACGCGGGTGTATTGGCTTTAAGCGACATTGCTCTCATTGTCCACTAGATACTTGAAATTCGAACGTGTAAAATTAGGAATTTGCATATCTATTGCAACACAAGGAATTTGAAACACGTACTCGTGTATAAAAACACCAAACACAAATCTAAAGTTAAAATAGCTTCTTTCATTGAGAGTGAACAAGTATTTTACAGTCGGACGCAACCGACTGCTTAAATTCTGACTTGTTTTTCTCGTGCTCTTTATGCTCAATAACAAGAAAAAGAACTTGACTAATTTTACAGCTACACTGAATGTGGATTGAATGGGTTCAATCAGGTTGCCCTCGTCCACATTGCCAGCATTAGCAATGCTCATTCACGCAAACACACACAAACAGAACATTGAATGGCAGACCAGAAGTTGAAAGGTTGTTTCAGACGCTGCCTTCGCTTCATTCGTCTGTCAATCAGTTGCAGTTCTCATCAACTTTTGACTTCTGATTTGATTTTTGGTCAGTTGCAATCCGATTTTAGCCCAATTTTGGCCAATTCCAAGTTGGCTTGTCTGGTATTGAGAGAGCGCTTCCACGCAAGTACACACACACGCACACGCAGAGACACACACACACATACAAAAACAAATTAGGTAGGATTTATAGAAAACGAAAGAGCAAGAGAAATGGGAAAGCTCGAAAAGGTTTCCTTTGAATTCGATATATGAAAATATGCATTGAAAACTACATTTTTTTATAAAATATCTTTTATTAGTACTTTACTAATAAGCAAATTAATTGATATACTTAACAGTGTTAAAGAGTATGAACACAACTTTAAAGTTAGCTTTATATTGTATAGTGAAGCCTTTGATGTTTGCTTTATAATGTTTTTACTGTAGATTCTCATTATCTTTCACAATACATACAAATAAATTAAAACAGTTCTTACCCATAGAGCTATTGTGAACGAAACTGCTGAACTGTAGTCTGTAGCTTCTCTCTGCACTTTATAACAATTATTTGTAGTCGTTGTTCTGCTTCTTCTTCTGTTCGATGGTGTTGTAAACAGCAGCGCTTTTTCTGTTTTTGTTTTTGTTCTTTTGAGATCGCTTTTAGTGTTTCTATACTTTGTTGTTTTGGTTTTTACGTAGCTGATAAGACGGCCACTCGTTGATTCTGTTGCTTATTTATATACAATGTACTCCATACATACATATGCAGTTCTGATAACAGCTGCAATGTTTTTTTGGTCTTTTACATGAAAAACGATGATAACGCACTGTGAAAAAGGGATTGAAATATGAAATATGTGCAGACAAAATGAAAAACATATATATGTTTATCTATATAAGAGGGAATGAAGCTTTCTGAGTTAGTTTTTTAACCATTTCTCTCCATCCCATGTAGTATAAGAGTTTCAGTTGATCTTCTACGAGGCTCTTAGCATATATCTGCATGAAAAAATCCATGAATTCGTTGCACACAACAGTTTTACAGTGTTTTTTTTTTACAGTTTAAACTTTGGTCTAGCAGGTACATACATACATCCATGCATGCATATTTATAAGAGTTAATGAATATTTTGAAATCAACCGTTATTGTCTATTCATAAATGCATCGACGCGCATAAAGTTACAACAGTATAAGAGTTTTTCGTCTCAAATCTTCTACTAGTATGCTCTAGTATGTAAATACGCACATACACACGCACACACTCATACAGATATATATGCATGTATTCTTTTTCTGCTTTTTTATCTGCCCAATTTTTGTTCATTTTTAGACATTTTGTGTGTGAGAGCTTTTAGTACTGCTTAAGATTATTAAATCGATCTCTTATTGTTATTATTTTAATGATATTTTATTTTTGAGTTTTGTAGGGCAAACGAATTGTGACGCACAAATATAATTAAGAAATGCATTTGGCGCGAAACAAACATCCGAGTTTTAGCAAGAAAAACAATAACAACAATAATAAATAAATAAAAAAGACAGCGTATACTGCCGGTGAATTCAATTTATGATGGTTTTATTCATGTTGTTCTTTTTGACTATTGCTTTTGCTTAAACGTTTATTAAGACAGAAAGAGAGAGCGAGACAGAAACTCGATGATCAAGAATTTTTTTGTAGTAATTTTCCATGCAATAACAAAATGTTTTTCAGTTTTTATTTTGTATTTATTTTCCTATTTTGTCTACTTCTATTTGCTTTATTCTCCCATATATAAATATATATATATTTTTTTTTTGTCTTAAGACATTTTGTTTTGATATGTACAAAAGTGTGAAGCAATTTACCAGAACAAATTATAATAATAAATCACACAACTAGAAATGAATTTAACGAAATAATTTAGAAAATAAAAAAAAAAACACTTTTAGTGCTGGTTCTTTTATCTGCTCGGCTCTATGCTTGTGGACTCGAAACTTAAGTAAAAGCTGAGCTTTGAGCGGCTTTTAGTAGGCGCGTCCTGTAAATCCGCCGACGACAACCGAACGCGGCCACTGACAAAATCAAACTGAAATCAGCCCCAGCTGCTGTCTGCCTGCCTGGCTGGTTGGCTGACTGCTTGGTCGGTCGGTCGTAAACAGCACGAAAGCTATACGAAATGTTGTTGTTCATGTTGCTGTTGTGTATGCGTGTGAGCGAGCAGCGCTCTTCACATGCACCCACACAGTTGCAGTAAGCTTATTACGTCCAGCCGAGAACAAGCGGGATAGCATACATAGGCAAATGAGAGCAGAGCAGCAACAGGCAGTCGAACAGCAGCGACAGCAAAAACAACAATATGATACACTACTGCATATGTATGTAAGTGTAAGCGTATATGAATAAAGAAGTTCATTTCGGCTATTTGTTGCCATCGTAAATTGAAATACACACCTCCTGTTCTCAAACTGACTCATAATGCTAATATTAACAGTTTATTATGTATTAAGTATATTATTAATAATAATTTATTTTTCGAAACCATACATTTTTCGCTAAAATTTCATATGTATATGTATTATTGTGTAGCGGATCTAAGCAGTCATTTAAGCCTATTCACATTTTTCTGTTCTTTGCAATTTGTTTTTTTATTACATATAAATACATATGTTTAGTTTTTTTTTTACATCTCTACATGTGTGCAGTGCACATGTGGAACTTATCAGAAGGGAGAGAAGCAAGAGGAGAGAAGCAACAACATTGACACGGCGCGACAAAAACGACGCTTGATATGATTGAACTCTTAAATTGTCCCGCTGCTCTGCGTTTCGCCCACCCTCCGCCCACAGTCATACGTCGGCCTATACATGCGTGAATCTAGCGAAATGCGTTTGTGTTGAAAGTGTGTTTGTTTGTGTGCGTGCGTAAGTCTGTGTAAGTGTACGTGTGTGTTTGTTAGTGTTTTGCAACGTTCGCATTCTCAGCGTCTGCTCAATTATCAACAGTTTGTTTGTTTGGCCGCTTTGTCTCCTTCGCCGTGTGTGTACACAAAGCAAAGTGCCAAAGCAAAGGCAAACGCAAAAGTAAAAGCAATTGTTGCTGCCTATCATAACAATAGCAACAAGAGCTCTAAAATAACGAATAGCAGTGGCCAGCGTGAGAAAGCGAGAGAGAGAGAGAGGGCAAGTGAAATAGTGTTATGGGATGAGCCACTGGTATTCAAACGGATCACAAAGTCATTTTACAGTTCTTTTTTTTAAATCGCCTGCGCCTTTTATCACATATAACAAACTCACACAAGCGCACTGAATATGCAGCCTGTACATATTTGTGTACATATTAACAGTTTATTGTTGTTACATTTATAAGTCGCGTTCCCATTTTGTATTCAAAGCGAAGAATTAATAAAATATTAATAATATGCATACCTACATACACACATATATAATTTGTGTGCTCTTATATAGAGAAAGCGAGTGCAAAGTTCTACATGGGCAACTATTAAAATGATTGTCAGCTAGAATCAGACATTTGCGTTATAAGTGCATACACACATACAACATGTGTACATGCACACATCTATACATCTATACGTCTACACTAATAGTCTAGATTCTATTATCAGCTTTTTTTGATAACAAATATATACACACATATAAATGTCTGCATATTTACGTACATGAATGTACATACGTAGGATGTATGTATGTATGTTTGTATGTATATTGATTAATGAACAATTTTCGCACTGAGTGGGCTATAATATGAGTTATCTATGGAGAAGCCCCCCATTGTGCATACACTCATACATATACACATATATGTGTCTAGCTATATGTAGTGTGATAAGAACCGATGACCGACTTAGTCTTATAATATATATAACTATATACATATGTATACCATATTAAAACTCTGCCTTTCAATGATAACTGGAGTAGACTTTGACAACAGACGATGCCAAGAAACCAAATGGGTCAACCGACTGTTTAATACTCGTTCGTTTCCTCATTTATAAATCTTACTACGGAGAGATAAGATATTGTTAGAAATACTCGACATTTCTAGCTTTAAATTCGTAGCAACTCAGACAAACGAAGAGCAAGTCGCTTAGCATACAAAACCAATATACCCGCTTTGAGCCAAAAGCCATCATTCATATATCTATATCAAAGTACAGTCAACACTTGATAATACGAATATACTCATATTCACATGTGCATATTATATATATATATATATATATATAATTGTTAAATATCTAAATTTTAACCTATTATTACCAAAAGGTCCAAACTTTAAAAAGACCCAATTCATATAGGTATTATTATATAAATAATATTTACCATATATTTAGTAAATACTTTCTGTGATATTTTTTTTTTATTTTTTATAATACGATTTAAGTATCACAGCGAGAAAGCATACGTTTTAGTTTGGCTCTACTGTTAATATATGAACATTTTCTAGAGCCTTTTGGCATAAACTTAATTAACCACAAAGACGAAATATTTAATATTTGATATTTGTGAATTTTCATCTCGATGCTGATTTATTGGAGTTTATTGGAAACGTAAGCAGTCATGCAACAAGCTTAAATTAAATTCTTTTTTAAATTCTTCGGCTGCATTTATTGAAATATACCGTAAGCCCCCTTTTCACGGCATTCCTTACAAACGTGCGCTCTCTCTCTTTCTCTCATTTACTCTTGCCGTCTCTCTCGCAATCTGAACGAAATTTACACTCCTTTACTCTCTGTCTCGCTCGCACTAACTACCCATCTGACTAGCCCTTTGGCGTAATTGCAGTGCCATTTGAGCAGTTCACCTGGACATCATGGGGCATGGGACGCAGGACACGAGCAGGGAAAACAGTTTGCATGCCATTTGTCAACTTTTTTCGAAAATACACGGCGCACTGGGCACAATTAGTGAACGTGTACATCACCACAAAAAATGAAGAAAAGAATAAAAATACAGATAAAAAAATTAACAGAAAATATAACAAAATGCTATACATTTTGCGATTTCTATAGATCTCTAGCCTTTTAAATGCCCACACTCGACGACCACTCTCTACCTCTCCCTTACTCTATCTCTCTCAGCTGACTTGGCCGTACTGCACATTAAACTGTTTTTAAGTCCCTCTACACTTTCCAGTCAAGCTCTCTCTCTCACATTCTCCTTCAGCTAGCATAGCAGCACAAGCGCAAATTTAGCCTTTTTCAGCACAAAGTCAGACTTTCTCAATCTTAGTTTGCTTTAAACAAATAAACAAATTAATAATAAAAAATTAATGACAGCAAAATGTATTTATATATAAAAACACTATTCACCACTAGCCAGTTCATTTTTGCCGTGTAGAAACGACAAGCTAAAAAAAGGCAGAAAATCTGAAAAACATTCGCATTCGCAGGTTGTCAATTAATTGTGCTGAAAACCTGCAGGTGAGTCCGCCCAGAGATAGAGACTGAGAGAGAGAGACAGCAAGGATATGCTTGTAACTTTTTTAAATGGCCAAAACATTTACATGCATCAGCGAAGTAAACGGAGATACCAGCGACCCAGCCTTCCCTTATCTGGTGCCCCCAGGTATATTTACGCATCACTGGTTGAATGTGGATATGACTTAGTGAATCCTTATGCTTGATTGACTGAATAGCAACGGTAACGGAGTCATTAATATGTTGCACAAAATCGCCGCAAGTCGATTTCTAATTCCCGAAACATACATTTTCTATAAGACCTCAATCTACTATTATATAACAGAAACTTTTAATTAAATAAGAACTCTTTTTTATCAACTATAGCTCTTTTTATTTTCAAATTTCTGATGTTATCAGCAATTGCCGCCTTGTAAACTAGCATCACTATTCAGCGCTAACAACTGTTTTAATACTCATTTTAGTAATTATCGTTTCAGCAATGATCATTACAATCGATAGTTGCTGTAAGGCAACAGCTGCTTTGTTATGTGCTGTAACAGAAATCGCTGTAGATTTTAATCTGAAGCGTCATTCGCTATTTTATTGCTCAGCACTACAGTATAAAATACTTTCAAGAGTTATTTTATTTAAAAAAATTTATATCAACAACTATTGCTTCATTAAATAAACAACCTTGCTAAATTTAAATTTATGCGCGCTGTTAATAACGTGCCGCTAATGTTAGGCTTCTTTTTTTTCGGGTGCCCACAACTGGCCAACGTAAGACGTTTTGTATACGTGTGTGAGACATATTTAACCAGAATATTAATTTATTATCACACAAATGTCATCGCAAAAAGTCCAGAACCGGCCTGTGGCCCGTCGCAAGAAGCCAAAGAATCTGTGGCAGATGCTCAGAGAGAAATATATTAACTGGAACTACATTAAATATCTGGCATTCAATCCGGCAGCTCTGCCGATTGTTGCTCAGCTGATTCTTTTGGCCGAGGCGCTGATTAATGTGCTGGTTATTCATCGTGTACCCTACACCGAGATCGACTGGGTCGCCTACATGCAGGTGAGCGAGCGAGAGAGTGCAGCTTCTTCTATATTCTTTTGTTGTAATCATCTTATTTTCAGGAATGCGAAGGCTTTCTGAATGGCACCACAAATTATACGCAACTGCGAGGTAAGTAAATTAGCCCCCATTTTCCTTTCAGTTTATTTTTGGAAACCAGGCAGCCGTAAATAGAGACAGCGAGAGAGAGAGTGAGAGAGACATCCATTATCCATTAGCAGTTTGGGAAGAGATAATTCTCAGTAGTAGTAGTATTGCCATTAGCAGTTTGTTAATTTCCCTATGCCATCAATGAATTTCCCAATGTTGTACACAAATGTCCGTCTTCTTATTAGAACGTGACAAGCTTCTAGATCCCGATGCATGCGAAACAAACTTATCGATAACAAGACCAATGTTGACTATCAATTTAGTTGTATTTTTCTTTCATATGTTTCCACCTCTTAATGGAATATATATACAATAACAAACTTAAAGGAAAGAAAAATAAAATTTGCATCGCCAATTGGCGATTACAAAACAGTTATCGATAACAAGACACATGCAAATTCAACTCAGTTGAATATGGATTTGATCTTGTTTAAGAAGCCTGCGCCGCCGACTCCGCCACTTTCTGCTGTTCGACTTTCTGATTTTTCACTGTCTTCGGCCCGCTCTGAGGAGGTTGCTTCTGTTGCTCTGCTTTTTCCTTGATTGGCTGTTGCATTTTCGCCATCTGGTTCTTTGGCATCACTTTCCGCTTGGCTAGCACCTGCGCTGGAAGCAAAGAAATAGAGAAGTTAAATAAAAATTTGAATGCAGCAAATGTTAGCGAGACTGTTAAAGCGAGCTTAAAGCTTAGTTCTGCTAGACAACTGCACTATTAGGTAGAATGAAGTAACATTTAACTTTTTACATGTAAGGCAAAAAAGGCCCATTCAAGCTGTTTTACTTGACAGCGTATGAATATTTGGAAATGGGCCATATTATATAGTCTTTTGATTGCAATAAAAAGGATGTTTTAATAAAACTAGCTATATTTTTAAAGGTACGTGTGGAAAGGGGTCTTTTGAATTTAGTACAGTGCTATAAAAGGAGCAAGTGGAAGTGGGTAATTTTTTTGAACGGAGACGGAGTGGAATCGAAACATTCTAAAATCAAGGTTATTTTCGTTACTAAACCGTTCTATCGGTTGCAATAAAATGGTATGAACTATTTCAAGAATATAGTAAAGGAACATATGGAAATGGGCCATTTCGTTAGGTTAGAATAAATGAACAATTCAATTAGGAGGGAGTACATAGAAGTGGATTATTTCTGTGAGCGGAAATAAATTCGAAACATTGGAAATTAACTATATAAAACTGTAGAGCCCGGAAAGAGGCCCCATTTCTCAACCGGTCTATATAATCTTATGTCGATTGTAAACGTTAAATTATATTTAAAATCTTATAAAGAGGATGCTGCGAATACAGATATCTGCGTTGCTTTGCTCGTTTTGCTTTAGCTTTGTGTTCAAAGAGTTGGGAGTTTTAAGTATTTACGTTGCTTTCTTACTGCCATCTTTACGCTGTGCCATGCCATTGATCTGTCCGGGCGTGTCTTCCTCTAGCTCGGCGTAGGCCTCCAGGAGCGAGCGCTGCTGCTGACTCAGCTTCTTGGGCACCTCGATTTTAATGTGAACGTAGTGATCTCCATGTCCGTGGGCGTTGACTCGCTTCAGGCCCTTGCCGCGCAAGGCGATCTTGCGATGCGACGAGGTACCCGGCTCAATGTTGAGCCATTGATCCTCGTAGACGCCCTGAACGCGCACGGTGCCGCCGAGCACAGCTTGGGATAGCGAGATGGGCGCATCGGTATGCACATCGGCGCCGTCGCGGCGGAAGTAGTCGCTGCGCTCCACTCGGAACGTGATGAACAGCTCCTTGCTGCCCACCTGCATGCGCACCGTTTGGCCATTCTCGATGCCCGCGGGCACTGGCACCGTCACCTTCCGGCGCTGCACCGTTCGGCCCTTGCCCTCACACTCGGCGCATGGGTATTTGATATATTGTCGCGTGCCCTGACAGTAGCGACAGGTGGAACGCATGACAAAGGGGCCCGTGGAGATGGTCTCGAAGCCGCTGCCATTGCAGTATTGGCAGCGACCCGGCTTGGTGCCCGGCTCGCATTTGGTGCCGGCACATTTGGGACACTCGTCGACAACATTGATATTGACGTCCTTGTTGATGCCACGAGCTGCTTGTGCAAAGGTTAAATCCATGACCAGCTCTTGTGCCTGGCCAAATCCGAATTTAGAGTCGGCAAAATCATCGAAGTTGTTGCTGCGGAAGTTGCCCTCGCCAAAGATTTTGCGGAAGAGCTCCTCGGGGTCAATGGTTGAGCGGAACTGCCAATTCTGTGCGAATCCCTCGGCTCCAAAGGGACCGCTACCGCCCCCGAATCCTCCCGCACCACCCTGTCTATTCATATTCTCCGTCGTCTGGCCGTAGGTGTCGTATTCCCGCCTCTTTTGATCATCGCTGAGCACTTCGTATGCTTCGCTTACCTCTTGGAACTTTTTGCTAGAATCGGGATCATCCTTATTTGTATCTGGATGGTATTTTTTTGCTAGCTGATAGTATGCTTTCTTGATGTCCTTCGCACTGGCATTCTTGGCCACGCCGAGCGTGGCATAGTAGTCCTTGGCACTCAAAGGACTCGAATTGAAAATACTTCGTTTTTGTTGTTGGTATGGCGCCCTCTGTTGCCAAGCAAATGTTACATCTCCAGCCGTTGCACTGGCAGCGGGTCTTGTCGTCCACCTCATTAGTCGCACTGACAGCAATGCGTTGTATTGACGGCAGCAGCCCTTGAACGGCAGTTGGCGTAAAACACATAAATTTTTACACGAAATCATTTTGTCCATTAATTGTTATAGTTAAACTCTATTTATCTTCTCTCTCTCTATTTGGCAGGCAGCTCTAACAACATGCCGTAATAACCTCCATGCTGCTTAATACAAAGTGTTCTCTCTCTCATTTTTTTTTCACTTTGACATTTTGACAGTCACCGGGTTGCGTAAACAGTTCGCTCATGAACACATGCGTTCCATAGCTTGCTTCTACTAGATAATTTTGGCCGCCCAGTGAACAGCTGATAATATAGGTATAACGCGGAGTTGAACTTGTTTTCTTTTCGCTGAGTTCGCTAAATAGTAGAACTCATAAAAAAATAGGTCAAATATGATGTAGTAGAACGATTCTCTATTTGGCAGCCACCTCTAACCTGCTATACTCTGCTGCCTTAATAATAATTGTTCTTTCTCTCAGTTTTTGCACTTTGATATTTTTACAGTCACTGGCTGGCTCGCTCAGGAACTGGTTCATCTCGATAGCTAATTCGATAGTCTTGCGTTTGCCCGCCCCATCACAATTCGAATTTGTTTCACAATAAATACTGTTTTATTTTCTGCAGGTGACACCGGTCCGTTGGTCTATCCGGCTGCCTTTGTTTACATATACTCTGCACTTTATTATGTGACAGCCCATGGCAGAAATGTGCGTCTGGCTCAGTATATATTCGCTGGCATCTATTTACTACAAATGTGTCTCGTTTTGCGACTTTATGCTAAGAGTCGAAAGGTGCCGCCCTATGTCCTGGTAGTGAGTGCCTTTACGTCCTATCGTATACATTCGATCTATATGCTCCGACTCTTCAATGATCCGGTGGCCATTTTACTGTTATATGCATCGCTCAATCTATTTCTGGATAACCGCTGGACATGGGGCAGCATTTGCTTTAGCCTAGCAGTGGGCGTCAAGATGAATATTTTACTATTTGCACCTGCGTTGCTGCTGTTCTACCTGGCCAATCTGGGAATGGGCCCAACTATTAGGCAGCTATTTATATGTGGCGCAATTCAGCTGTTGATAGCTCTTCCCTTTCTGTCGCATCCTATGGAGTATCTGCGCGGCAGCTTCGACTTGGGTCGCATATTCGAGCACAAATGGACTGTAAATTACAGGTTCTTGAGTCGAGAGGTATTCGAGCAGCGCGAATTTCATTTGGCGCTGCTTGGACTGCACTTGCTGCTGCTGCTGATCTTTGCCAAGCCCACCTGGACATTCTTTAAGAGCTACCTGCGCTTGCGCGAAGTGCAGCAGCATATATTGCCAGAGATAATGCGTAAGAAGCGCGAGGAGCAGAACAAAGCAAATACCGATTGGAAAAAGTCGCTAAAAAAGAGCAAATCTATAAAATCCCAGGAGCAGGAGGCACAGGAAGGTGAGGAGGAACTAACTGCAGAGCAAAAATCCTTTCTCAAGGAGTTCGAGCGGGGACTGAAGCGTAGCACAGGTCAAAAAGCATCCGCTGCCCCAGTCAAGGAGCCAAAATCTGAGAAATTTGACATCTACTTTGAACCCTGCACCCAGTTGGCTCTGTTGCCTTTCTTCCTGTGCAACTTCATTGGCGTCGCCTGCGCCCGTTCACTGCATTATCAATTCTACATTTGGTACTTCCATTCGTTGCCCTATTTGGTGTGGTCCACGTCCTATTCGTTAGGCGTGCGCTTTCTAATTTTGGGCATTATCGAGTATTGCTGGAATACCTATCCTAGCACCAACTATTCCAGCGCCGCGCTGCACCTGTGTCATCTGGTATTGCTGGTAGGCGTGGCGCGTCACGTCTTCCAAATCATGAAGCTAAATGAAAGTATAAAACAGCAGAACCGCCAACAGCAGCAGCAAGAAATACCGTTACAAAATGCTCAGCCAAATATGACGAAAAAAAATCAATAACCGAAAGAACCCTTAATTTAAAATTGAAAAAATGTTAAAAAAATGAATTTTATTGGATGTTTTAACTAGTTGAGAAGAAAGGACTTGAAATATTTAAATTGATTTTTTTACTGGTAGAAACTCAGGGAGATGCATTGGATATGGGCATCTAGTCAGAGGCAGGCATGGGATTAATTAGGATTTTATCGACAAGCTGAGTTGATCTCGCCCATCCGTTCCTAAATGCACAGCTTATAAATATTATCCATTTTTGCTGCCTAGCATAAGTGACAAAAGTCCTACCGGGTATCCACGAGTCGTGCACTCCTTACCATTTAACAAACTTTGTGCTAGAATCAACTTTGAAAACGAATTCAGTTTTTATTGTCATTAAACGTAAACTTGACCCAGCCAAAGCACATGCATGTCAGAAGTACTTAAAGCTATATAGACTATATATATATATGTTAGATATACTGTATAGATTATATGGTAGATATTATATTTAGTTGGTTTGTACAAAAAAGGGAAAGGTAATTTTGTTGAGATAAACAAAGAAAAAAGCTTAAAATACAAATTTAAGCTAAGGTATGTCCTGCAAAGAGATTGGGTTAGGTATTGGGCTATTATATTCAGGACTTGTTTTGTACAAAAGTGGGAGGGATTGGGATTGGGATTGGGATCAGTCACTGCCAACGGCTGCACTAGGCGTGTGCCGCATCAAGGGACTCCCATCAGCTGGCGGCGACAGGGTATTCAACTCAGCTTCGCTTGCTGCGGCCTCTTCTGCAGTTTCCGGCGCTTCATTCGCACTCCCGATGCGCTGCACACTGAAGAAGCGCAGCAGCGTCGTCTCGCTGTTCCTTCTGCTCGATGTGGGCGTGCGGAGATGAGGTGCATTGTTATCAGTGTGTGATATGCGCCGCCGGGGCGTTGCCTGCAACCGTGGACTGCATTCGGAATTGCGCAGGCTTTGCAGACGCGGCGACAAGGCCAGCACATCCAGCGAAGCATCCTCCACGCTCATCTTCTCGCTGAGCGTTAAGCTGCCGCGACTCATCAGCTTCTGTTTGCGAATCTTCGTCAACCAATCGACCTTCTCCTTGGCCTTACGCTTGGGCGACATGATGGCCAGGTGCGGTGCCTCGCCGTCCAGCACATAGTTGGGCAAATTTGAGGTGGGCGAGTAGATCAACGCGGTGAGAGAGTGTAGCGAAAGCGAGGAGGCGGAAGTTGAGCTGGCTGCCGCGTCTGCGGCTGCTGCTGCTGCTGCTGCTGCCTGGGCGGATGTTGTGGGCGGCGAGTTGTAGGCAATGTTATTTGTTTGCACCTCACTCAAAGGAGACGGCGTTGACAATTTAACAGCCGAGGTCGTAGGGGCTGTCAGCTGCTCCTTAACATTCTCTTGATTGCTGGACAAAGTGGCGGACGCTTCCTCTTCGACTATGCCTGGCAGCTGCTGTTGCTGACTGCTGGCTGGGAATAGACGACGTCCCCTGGATTCAAAGCTCTTCGTGCGCTTTTGAAGCGGCTGCTCCAGCTGTTGGTCTGCCTGCTGACTGCCGTCGCTGCCAATGCCGCCAAGCATTTCTAGAAATGAACGTTTGATGCTTGTCTTTTCCACAGAGCTGGGCGTGCGTTCATTTTGCTCCATAAGACGCTTCAGCGAGCGTGGCGTAGATTCCAAATCCCGCAGATTATATGTGTGCTGTGAGGAGGAGCTGGCCTTGGCCGCCTTATCGAACTCCCTCACGTAGCTCGACTGTCCACGATATAGCTCCGCTCGCTCGGCTGCTGTCACGCTTTCCGGCTGTGGGCCAATGCGCCAAATCTTGTGCCTGGCATCATCGCTGCAGGTGACAATTGGACGATCATGCGTTGAGCCCCAGGCAACACAGGTGACCTCCACCGTATGCCCAGCCAGGGCAACCAACGGCTCAGCCGCGTAATCCAAATTCCAGATATAGGCTCTCTCATCGCTGCTGCCACTGAGCAAATACTTGCCATCCGGACTCAGGCAGCTCTTGATATAAAACGTAGAGTTAAGCAAGCCTTTATAGCTAGCCATAGGCTTGGCTGCGTACGAGATAAGATTATAGCAATAGATCGTGTTATCCATGCAGTTGGCATAGAGACGCGTGCCCGCAGCATCGACTATGAGATTAGTGAATCCTTTGAACGTGGACGAGCCGGCGTAAGGTAGACTATGTCTGGGCAGTGGCTCCTTCTTATAGGCCGAGTAATTGCGCCTCAGATCCCAAACTTTGATCACACCATCGCCCGCTCCGCATGAGATCAGCGTATCATTGTCTTGGAACGCTAAGCCTGTGATGCTGCTCGATGTGTTGGTGCTGTTGCTGTTTGTTATCTTGGGTGTTCGGGTTCTTTGTTTACGGTGCGATTGCGGTGTGCCCGGCCCGCCTGTATGACCGCTATAAATGCAGTTATCAACACGGGAAGTGAGGTCCACGTTGAGATTCGCACGTATATCCCAGATGAGTATGGCGCCATCGCGTCCGCCTGTGGCAAAGACAGCTGCATCTGTGCGTTTGAAGGCGGCCGTCTTAACGGATCTCGTGTGACCCACATAGGAATTCAGACCACGTATGCCCGACCCAGAGACTTCCCATAGACGAGCTGTGTGATCGCCCGAGGCGGAAACGAAACGCATTTGTCCCGGCGCCCACTCCAAATCGAAAACGGCATTGAAATGGCATTGTGGTGCACTCAGTGCTTGCTCCTCTGTCTCTTGGTTACGCGCGGTTGTGTCCTGCAACGCAATCTTGCCATCCTCATTGGCTATAGCCAAAATGTGTCGATAGCCATCACAATTGGCAAATTTTGCTGAAAATATCGGTGGCTCCGGATTGAAGTCTGGACTGTAGTTAGCTGGCGCAATGCCACGCCAGCTGTCCTGCCTGTGGACGCACAAGCGATGCAGCGCAAAGTCATAAGAGCAATCATTAGCTGCAATAGAAGAAGTTAAATAATTACAAAGTTCGTTTAAAATTGTTTTTCATTTTGTTTACGTTCCAAATTTGTTTTCGCAAGCTCAGCAAAATATCAAAAAATCAAATTACAACACTTTCAACTTAATTTACTAGGTAATTTCTTACCGCACAACTAATTTTTTTGGCGCTCGATTTAACCGCGCAAGGAGCTATCGGCGCGCACTCTTCTTCTTCAATTCGAGCGCCAAAAAAAATGTTTTTTCTTTTGCCTTACCTAGTCCGTGTTCTCTACTGCGGAGTTTATTGTATATGTTCATTATAAATACTTTTTATGTTTAAATTTGCTACTTTTTGACACGATCTCTTATCGTTTTTTATTTGGTATAAAAGCTATTGTTTTGTGAATTAAACTCGCATTTAGAACATATTTCTTGCTTGCGACGCAATCCCTAACAAAACAGTTGACACTGTCAACAACACTGTTAACGTAACGTCTGTTAAAATTTGCGATCACATTAACATTGTATCGAACTATTTGGCTATTTATCGATAGTTCATTTTAAAAATGATGTGTTCCCATCTTTTTATGAAAATTCATATAAAGTAATGCTTAAAACTAATTAATTACCAAGCCAATGCTGCTTTTAAACAATTATATTTTAAATCAAACCTACCGCTTAATTTTAACATTTTCACAACTTAAATTTCATAAAGTAAATAAAATTTGCGTATTTATTAATTAAACCACCAATATTTAAATCAAACAGAAACTGAAATCTATCAGTATTATGATATGATATTTGGTACACACAGATTTTACTTCTAAAAAGTTGATTTGACCCTGTTACGCAAAGCTTATTTCTCAAGCATTTCAATAGATAAAAAACTTATTTTTACCAATTTATAATACAAATGTTATTTAGGTTCGTAGTATATTTGTATTTAGTATTAATCGTTTCTATTGTATCTATTCAAATATCGCTACTACTCGCTTAGCTAGGAGCTGAATACAGCTGTTAGATTCAAATCAAAATCTACAACCTAATTATTTTATGTATTTTTCATATGATAATTAATATTTAATCTTGTATATAATATAAATATTTGTCCTTGCATAAGGGATCAATTCTCTAGCAGTTTTTCAGCCCTAGAACACTGGTTGCTGTTAATAACAGTATGAGCTAATGTTACGATGTGTGCACGTAATTTACGTATGCACAAATACTCGATATATTTGATATGCAATTGAAATAGGAGTTACTCGAAATGGATACTTTTTCATTCAATCACTAGGCTTAAGTTTGACTACTCACTAACACATCTACATATGAGTGTGTACATTTTTTTCGGTTTTGATTTCGGCATCGGCAACATTTCAACCAGAATTTGCTTACAGTAACATTCTCTCTTTCAATCAGGTTGGATGTGAGTGCGAGGAACGCGGCGCAAAGAGAACGCTTGCCTTTTATTTTTTGACGCACGCATCGTGCGATTACAAAATAAATAGATATACATATATATACAAAATTATTGCACAAAATTCGGACACGTTTATAAAGCAACAACAAAGTACAAATATAAAAGTTGTCTATAATTTTTGGTAATTTGTTAAGGCACGCGTCGGCGGCATTTTGCCATTGTGAACCAGAACCACGCTCTAAATTGTGAATTAACTGTGTTCCAAATGAGGAAATAAAGGCATAAAGCGTGTACCAGAAAATCAAATTCAAAATGCTCGAATCGCCCAAATTTATTGAGAATGATTGTTACGATGGCAGCCGCATGTTTACCTGGCTGGCCGACATGGTCGGGCTGTCTGTTGATTTGGTAAGTTATATGTGTATGTACATATGTACTATTACCAAAAAAAAAAAACAAATGCGTGTAAGAAACCAGTATATCCACATTTTTACGGGCTCCAGTTTATTGTTAAACACAAGGATTGCCTCAACCTGTGCCATTGGGAACTCAAAAAAGTTTCCATGTGAAGGCTAAACGCCGGCTGCATATATTACCTGCTCCATTCCCTCCCTTCCTCCTGTCGTCTTGCTCAGACCTAGGCACGCGCAACATGTCATTGCCTAAACATTTTTTGTGTTTAATCGAATTCGCTCCTAGTTGCTTTCTAATTAGGCTTTTGATTTGCTGTGTGCATTTTGTGTTCTACTTTCCTTGCATATTGCGCCTCAGCACGCTGTCATTAACCTTTGCCCATTGTTATTGTGAAATTATACACACACGCAATTTATATGGAACTCAATTAGAGTTGGGATGAATGTCGTGACACGAAAGAGATTCCGGCCTTCGCTTATAAATTTATGTTTTCGTTTTTACAGTTGCATAAATGCTCCTATTATTGATTGGCTGATCAATACGGCACGTGTATATTTTTTCATGTTGTGTGTGCATCATCTTATAAAATTGTGTAATTGAATGAGTTCGTTGCAAATTAATCATTACACTTGAAGCGCTGCCAATTTAGCAAACAGCTGAGACTGCAACAGTCGATGACATGTTTAGCCGACGCTCTCTTTCATACACAGACACACACTTATATACACATATACCTGCATTTTCATAAATGAAACCGTGAGAAGAACTTAATATCAAATGAGAAAACGTGAGAGAGTGGGATTAACTGTAAGCACTAGATGTATAAATATGCAATATCACATGAGAGCAGAGAGAGAGAGAGAGTATGTAATTAACTGCAAGCAGATGGCCATATACAAAAGTGTGTATATAGGCATGTGTATGCGTACTTATGAGCTCTGCTTAAGGAACACTCATAAAAGCTTGTAATATCCGTTTCTAGTGGCGCTTAGCAGACAATTTACCTATGTGTGCGTGTGAATGTGGTGTGAGTATCTGTACAAGCAATTGGCTAACGTATTAACAAATTTAAACGCTCGTCACTTTTTTCTTTTGATGATCTAATCCCCATATGTCGTCAGCCCAGAGTAAAATGTGAATATTAAGGTATACTAACAACAAACGTTCTAACAACTTAGTTTTTTATTTGAATTTGAAGTGCTGCTGTTTGTTTGTAAACAAAGAATTGGTAACAGCTGAGAGTGAGAGAGAGAAGGAGAATGAGAGTAGTCGTTGAATGAGTCAGTCTTAACCGTAGACCATGGCTCACACATATGACAGGGTGTTTCATTTGCGCACGTATTGTTTATAGCTCAGTTAACATTAACCTTTTTTTCTTATTTGCTTTTGACTGTGACACATTTCGATTCGCAAGAAGGTCGTCGTATATGGCTGTGTATGCGTGTGGGTGGTGTGACGCCATTTTTGCAGTATGGTGTAATCGGACAGTCTACCAGCTTATCATTAGCACCAAATATTTTATTAGTTTTAATACGTAAATTGTTGCGAAGGCCAAAGAGAAGCACGCATATAAACACCAACAAGTATTATTTATTTCTGCCTAACCTGCAAATTGGCCAATTGTTGCAGTTAAATAAATGTTTTTGAGCTGTGCAAATTAACGAACTCTCACAAGCATCGCAAACAGCCGGCATGTCGGCTCTCGCGCTCTCTTTCTATTTATCTCACCCACACCTTATACTCTCTTTGTCTTCTTTGTCATCATTCACTTATGCGTCGCAGTCGAAATGCTAAGGAAAATGCGCAGCAACAGTGATGAATATGTGAACATGAACGAACCAGTTCTAGGGCGCTGTAAATTCATTACTCATTACTAGACATACGTGTCGAAACTGAAAAAGATGAGAGCGAGCTGCGGTTGTCTGTCGGTTGACTGCACTCTCAGTTTCTCACTCTAGCATGGCTGTGCATCTAAAATATGTAAATATGTACATGAATGTAAAGTCGAGTGCGCAGCAACACAACACAAATTTGTGACTCTGAACCAGTCAGCACGTGCGAGCAAATGATTTCTATAGATGCGTGAAAAACCAGTTGCGCCCCTGTTGTTGAAGAGAAATCGAGAGCGAAAATTTGCTCTCTGCCATTTTCTGCTATGCATAAATCATATGAAATTAATATTTGTGTATGACCTTGAGGTTGAGTGTGCTTATGTGTGTGTGTGTGTATGATACGCTTTGAAATTGTGGATTCTTTGCGCCTTGCTAGATGCCAATTGTCAGCTGTTGCTGCGAAAGTGGCGCCACTAACCATATATACGTTATCTTAAATATATATTTATATATATAGAAGAATATATTTATAAATATACTTGTTACGTATATCAATAGTAATCTCTCCAAATTGAGATATAAATCGTAAAGATTTTATATATATGAGTTATATATATTTATATGCATATTTTTGTTACTCTATCGATAGTGTCATCACTGGTATTAATAAAAAACTTAAAATGTGTAATGAGTTCATGATTTTACATAACCTCCTGCTCTTATCTAGGCTTTGGCGCAGCCAAAAACGTTTTAACCGTTTTTTTTTTTATATCATACAGAATGTGATTGTTGTTGTTTTATTGTTTTAATGTTTATTTATAGTCATCACGCCACCTTTATTTTTTTCTCTTTACTTTTGTATGTTAATATTTGGCAATTTATACAAAGTCCATTGCGTGAGAGACAAAGTGCAAAGCAGGGGGCGAATTTCATTTAACTCTTCATGACTTGTTTTCATTCTATTTTCTTTTATTTATTTTGTGTGCTGTGCAATAACAACAACAATAAAGCAAAGTCATTCACACATGTTAAGTGTTTGATTGATGCTTTTTATTGGAGACAAGCATCTAAAATTCTATGCAACAATTTAAGAGCCAAAGCAAGCTAGGAAGGCGTCGGAAACCGCCTTGAACGAGCTTTTGATTTTCAGATGCAGATGGCAGGAAAAAAGGCAAAGAAAGGGAAACGAGAAGAAGAAAGAGAGAAGCTAAACGTAAGAGATGAGCGGTAGTTGCGGTTACGAAAAGGCGATTAATGGTTTAGCATTCATATTTGGAAGTGATAGAAAGTGAAATGTAAAGAAGAAAGAGAAGTGAAAAGTGAAGTGGAATAAAGAGATGACATAAATCAGAATATAAGAGGACAGTGACTCTGCGCCGATAGCATTGCAATATTTGTTAGTCACGGTTATTTGTTAGCGACCCTATCACAGTTTTCTGTGCTCAGCTCTATTGGGATGTCAAACATAATCCTTTGAATTGTATGGAACACGGCTTTTTAACTTGACCTTATATTAGATAGATATACATACATGTAGTTGCCCTATGTACGGACAATGCACGCAAGCTGCTTAAGGGCGTGAGGCAAGAAAAAGAATAGAATGTAATGGGATTTCATGCAATGGGATTTCATGCAGTGATATGAATGATGATAGACAAAGAGAGAGAGAGAGAGAGGGGGAGAGAGAGAGATAGAGATAGAGATAGAGATAGAGATAGAGATAGAGATAGAGATAGAGATAGAGATAGAGATAGAGATAGAGATAGAGATAGAGATAGAGATAGAGATAGAGATAGAGATAGAGATAGAGATAGAGATAGAGATAGAGATAGAGATAGAGATAGAGATAGAGATATATTGCAATAAATATGTGTAATATGTGTTATATGTGTATATATCAATAAATATGTGTAATTGATTTATATTGCCAGATATGATTGTCCACGCTATTTTAACTTTCATGCTCAATTTAATCATCTCACCTTGAGCGCTTACTTATTGAGACCTGTTTTTATTCGGTTCAACCCCACACACAAAGAAATGAGAGCGAATGATTCTCTGACTGTTTCCCTCTCTGCTCCTCTCCCTTATTCCTCTGCTCACTTTTTCTTTTTAGTTGATTTGTTGTTTAACTTCTATTCCATAAATTCCGATACTTAGCTGTGGCTATAATCTGCTTTATTTAATAGAAAAGGAAGGAAAAAGCATACTATCGCAACGTTTAAACACATGCTCACACATCAGGCCACGATAGCCTTAGTCTTTGACCCATGGCACTTTTAGGAATTCCAGTCTTTATCGCAGTGACGATATTGTAAAATATATGTTATATAATGAAATATTATATCTCATACAATTTTTGTCTGCTGAAACTTGTAAGTCTTAACAGGAGAAATTGTGTACTGAGAGATAAAAATCAGAACTTGCACTTGGACTTGCAGACTTGGTAGAAGTACTTTGCGACACGTGACATTTATTTATCTAGCGAAACTGTTATATACTGCTGGAAACGCTTGGTAGTTTGTAAAATATGGATGGAGATTGTATATACCGAATAATATTTTTACAAATAAGAAACCGTTTAGTTGGATATAATTTAATCTAATTCAAGGCAACATACGATAATGCGGACTATCCCTGATGAAGATCGAATACGTATTAATATTTAATTTCTGATAAGGCTATGCCCTATGCTATGCCTATGCCTATATGTTAGTTACGGACTCGCAGATTATTCCTATGATATACCCATTTCTAAAACTTTAAATGAGTAGAAAGATGCAGGTTCAAGTGCAACTGCAAGTGCAGCTGTGCTTAGAGCTACATGGAAATGTTATACAATTTGTGGTTTCCATTATCTAAATATTAATATTTATATTGTCAATATTGGAAACATTGTCTGCAGCAATTAGCCAAATTATATGGCAAGGCATTTGAGTTGGCAACAAACCTTCTGGTTGGGTATAAAAGGCAGTTCTGCATTTTCTTCTGCATCTATTAGGAGTTGAAAGCGGTAAAATAACCCACCTCAGTTAGTTATCCTTTCGAGTTGAACCACAGGCTCCTTCGATGAAATTTTGTAAGTGAAACACAAAACAAGGAGCCATGCGTATAATGGCCTTTCGCCTGTCCTTTTGCAGTAAACATTCTCCTTGTGGGTGTTGTGACTATGGCTGCAGTTGCCGTGCAACCCACCATTGGCGATAAAAAGCACTTGCGACCTAGCTGCAGCAGCGTTGCGGACGGCTCCCACCTAGCTGATCCCACCAGATGTGCCGGTTATTATGTCTGCACACGCGGCCGACCCGTGCGTCAGAGCTGTAACCTGGGGCAGTCGTTCGACGAGGATAGCAAGTCCTGCAAATCAGCCAGTCAGGTCAACTGCTTCAACTTTAGAGGATTGGCCCTTCGCATTCAACTAGGTGCAGACGCCGGTGCACCTGATACTGAGCAACCGTGTTCAACCACAACCCCTCCATGTGAGACAACAACTCCTCCATGTGTGACCACAACTCCTCCATGTGAGACAACAACCCCTCCATGTGAGACAACAACTCCTCCATGTGCGACAACAACCCCTCCATGTGAGACAACAACCCCTCCATGTGAGACAACCCCTCCATGTGAGACAACAACTCCTCCTTGTGAGACAACAACCCCTCCATGTGTGACAACAACCCCTCCTTGTGTAACAACAACCCCTCCATGTGCGACAACAACTCCTCCATGTGTGACAACAACTCCTCCATGTGAGACAACAACCCCTCCATGTGAAACAACAACCCCTCCATGTGAGACAACAACTCCTCCATGTGCGACAACAACTCCTCCATGTGCGACAACAACTCCTCCATGTGAGACAACAACCCCTCCATGTGCGACAACAACTCCTCCATGTGTGACCACAACTCCTCCATGTGAGACAACAACTCCTCCATGTGTGACCACAACTCCTCCATGTGAGACAACAACTCCTCCATGTGTGACCACAACTCCTCCATGTGCGACAACAACTCCTCCATGTGAGAACACAACCCCTCCATGTGAGACAACAACCCCTCCATGTGAGACAACAACTCCTCCATGTGTGACCACAACTCCTCCATGTGCGACAACAACTCCTCCATGTGAGACAACAACCCCTCCATGTGCGACAACAACCCCTCCATGTGCGACAACAACTCCTCCATGTGTGACCACAACTCCTCCATGTGTGACCACAACTCCTCCATGCGAGACAACAACTCCTCCATGTGCGACAACAACCCCTCCATGTGAGACAACAACCCCTCCATGTGAGACAACAACTCCTCCATGTGCGACAACAACCCCTCCATGTGTGACAACTCCTCCATGTCCGACAACAACCCCTCCATGTGTGACAACTCCTCCATGTGAGACCACAACTCCTCCATGTGAGACAACAACTCCTCCATGTGCGACAACAACTCCTCCATGTGAGACCACAACTCCTCCATGTGAGACAACAACCCCTCCATGTGTGACAACAACTCCTCCATGTGAGACAACAACCTGTTCTTGCCAGAAAGCGACTCCCCCATCCCAGACAACTCCTCCATGTGAGACAACAACCCCTCCATGTGTGACAACTCCTCCATGTCCGACAACAACCCCTCCATGTGTGACAACTCCTCCATGTGAGACAACCACTCCTCCATGTGAGACCACAACTCCTCCATGTGTGACCACAACTCCTCCATGTGAGACAACAACCCCTCCATGTGTGACAACTCCTCCATGTGAGACAACCACTCCTTCATGTGAGACCACAACTCCTCCATGTGTGACCACAACTCCTCCTTGTGAGACAACAACCCCTCCATGTGTGACAACAACTCCTCCATGTGTGACAACAACCCCTCCATGTGTAACAACAACCCCTCCATGTGAGACCACAACTCCCCCATGTGAGACTACAACTCCTCCATGTGAGACAACAACCCCTCCATGTGTGACAACAACTCCTCCATGTGAGACCACAACTCCTCCATGTGCGACAACAACTCCTCCATGTGAGACAACAACCTGTTCTTGCCAGAAAGCGACTCCCCCATCCCAGACAACTCCTCCATGTGTGACAACAACCCCTCCATGCGTGACAACAACTCCTCCATGTGCGACAACAACTCCTCCATGTGAGACCACAACTCCTCCATGTGAGACCACAACTCCTCCATGTGAGACAACAACCCCTCCATGTGTGACAACTCCTCCATGTGAGACCACAACTCCTCCATGTCAGACAACAACCCCTCCATGTGAGACCACAACTCCTCCATGTGTGACCACAACTCCTCCTTGTGAGACAACAACCCCTCCATGTGAGACCACAACTCCCCCATGTGAGACTACAACTCCTCCATGTGAGACAACCACTCCTCCATGTCAGACAACAACCCCTCCATGTGAGACCACAACTCCTCCATGTGTGACCACAACTCCTCCTTGTGAGACAACAACCCCTCCATGTGAGACCACAACTCCTCCATGTGTGACCACAACTCCTCCTTGTGAGACAACAACCCCTCCATGTGAGACAACAACCCCTCCATGTGTGACAACAACCCCTCCATGTGTGACAACGACACCTCCATGTGTGACTACCACTCCTCCATGTGAAACAACAACTCCTCCATGTGAGCCAACCACTCCTCCTTGCCAGGCAACAACTACTCCATGTCTAACAACAACTCCTCCTTGCCAGGCAACAACCATTCCATGTGAGACCACAACTCCCCCATGTGAGACCACAACTCCCCCATGTGAGACCACAACTCCCCCATGTGAGACCACAACTCCCCCATGTGAGACCACAACTCCACCATGTGAGACTACAACTCCCCCATGTGAGACTACAACTCCCCCATGTGAGACTACAACTCCCCCATGTGAGACTACAACTCCCCCATGTGAGACCACAACTCCCCCATGTGAGACCACAACTCCCCCATGTGAGACCACAACCCCTCCATGTGTGACAACAACCCCTCCATGTGTGACAACAACCCCTCCATGTGAAACAACAACTCCTCCATGCGAAACAACAACTCCTCCATGTGAGCCAACAACTCCTCCTTGTCATACAACGACTCCCCCATGTGTGACAACTCTTCCTTGTGAGACAACAACTTCTTGCTTGACCACAACTCCCCCATGTGAGACAACAACTCCTCCATGTGTGACCACAACTCCTCCATGTGAGACAACAACTCCACCATGTGAGACCACAACTCCCCCATGTGAGACTACAACTCCCCCATGTGAGACCACAACTCCCCCATGTGAGACAACTCCTCCATGTGAGACAACTACTCCGTGCCTGACAACTCCATGTGAAACAACTCCCCGCTTAACAACGACAACACCTTGTGAGCCTACGACAACTCCTTGTCCACCAGTTACAACTACCAAACCTCGCAAACAGAAAATATTGTCTGCAGCTAAGGGTCCTTTGTCAGGAGATAAAAAACCTTTGAGTGAAGTCAAAAATGATTTGCTTAATTTGCTGAGCACCTCCAGCAACGATTGTCTGCAGAGAGCGGATGGAGTCTTCCTCCAGGATGCGAACCACTGCCGCCGGTTCTATCAGTGTCGCGGAGGTAAGCGAGTGGTTCGTCGCTGCAAGTCGGGCAACTGGTTCGATATCCAGGCTGGCAAATGCCGTCGTCGCAATCAGGTCAAGAACTGCCCCGCCAAGCGTAATTGATCCAAAAAAATAAAGTCCCTAATTAAAAATTTCAATACGCCTAACCAAAACTGTAAACCAATTCAAATAAATCGCTGCTTATTCATATCCTAAAGAATCAATTGACAGCTATTACTCTAGTTTCAAAGTATGATGTATGATATGGACGGGTCTAGTTCATTTTGTTGAGTCGGGAACAATATCGATTGCTAGCTCGATTCAGCTGCTTATGAACGATATGAACTATGAATTATTATGAACTATGAAGTCGTTCTCGGCCTTTTTTTGATAAGCTATTGAACTAAATAAATGGTCAAATCTGATTGACTAAACGATGGTGTTTCTAATCACTAAGAATTAACTAGACGATCTTATCTTATCACTAAGAATTGGTTTATTAGTTCATCGAACGACTTTTTTGATCCAAGCCCACTTACTATTATACCAAAGATCCCAAAGGTTGAATTCTAAATATAATAAAACCTTCATCTATATTCCGTTCATTGGCGTGTCTTGAGCAAGTTATTTATTTTTCTTATATAGTAGAAATAAAAAAAATATATATATATAATATATATATACATTTATATTTGTTTCATTCCTTTGTGTTTGTGCTGATAACGCTTAATAAGTTCTCTGTATTGATAAGGCTTAAGTTTAATGGAGCCGCACATTAACATACTTTTCTTATTCGCACTGATTTCCTAATGTGTCAACACTCAAATAGCAAACAGATAATGTACGCAGTCGCGTCCAGATAACGGTTGGAGCATCCGCCTCAAAAGTGTATGGGCCTGGTGGGGCTTATCTATTATCAGAAAATGCCTTGACACTGAATTATCTTTGACTGCCAAGTTTTTTTGGGTGCATATTTGTAAATGGGTTGATTTGTCGGGGCCTTTTCATCGCTATCAGCTCTCTAATGTTGTCACACAAAATGTTATCGAAATGCACTGAGCATGCGAATGATAACACGAGGCTATCGATCATTCAAAACCAAAAAACTTAGGCTTATCTTGAACTTTTGCAGCTCAACTTTAATTTTACAGTAAACATTACAAATAGAAAGCTTGAATAGAATCGTTCGATTGTATTCGAGTCGAGTTCATAAATTCGATCAATTGTCTGACAAATATTGAGAACTAATTTCAATTGCCAAGAAATTCGCAATTATATATATGTATATATATATATATATCGGTTGCATTTGCTTTTGCATAGCAAAGTCAAATGATGGCCAAGGCCTGTGTCGTCTAGCTGTACGGGTTGATCAGAACGCGTGATTCTAGTTCTCTATGATCGTGATCAAGGGCAAAACGTGTCAACCGCAGCTCTCAAATATATATTATATTTATATATATATCTGATATATGGAAAAACTCTGACCGCTGTATGAACACTTAAATGCAGGCAAATTACACAACAAAACACGTTAGGGCGCTTTCTGCATTATATATAGAAATAGGTATATAGTATAGCCAGTATTGTAATAGAACTCGTAAGATATTCGATTGCGTTTGTAAATTGCTCGACTTTGTTCGAAGAAAAGGTTTCTTGGGTCGAGCGTTGATCGTCTATCAGTCAATTAGAATCAAAATTGTTTCATAGCCATAGCCCTATATATATATATGTATATATAACTTATCAACATTTAAACTCATTATTTATTCTTGTCTTTTATCTCTAGGTTAACTTTCTAATCTGCCAAATATCGGCGCTCTTCCTGGCCTCACTGTTCCGCTCGTGGCTGCACCCATCGAAAGTCTCCTATGAGGTGCGCCATGCCTTTGCCCTATCGCTTGGCCTGGCCTTCGGCTACTTTTGCTTTGGCCAACAGGCAATACATATTGCCGGCTTGCCGGCCATATGCTTCATAGTTATACGCACACAGGACCCGCGCATTGTACAACGGTAAGTCCAATTCAATAATCCAATGCTGCCGAAATTGAATTGAATTTATCCTTTGTAGAAGCGTCTTGCTGGTTGCCATGGGCTATTTGCTGTGCGTTCATCTAATGCGGCAGATTTACGACTATGGTTCCTATGCATTGGACATAACTGGACCGTTGATGATCATCACCCAAAAGGTGACCAGTCTGGCCTTCAGTATACACGATGGTTTTGTCCGTAAAGACGAGGTGAGTGACATTGTGTTAGTTCAACTCAATTGCAATTCATCTCTAATGGTTTTTGCTCTTTCCCATTGTTCAGGACATGACAAAGGCTCAGCAATATCATGCGATTAGAAAAATGCCTTCAGCATTGGAATACTTCTCATATGTGTGGCACTTTCAGAGTCTGATGGCCGGACCGTTGGTCTTCTACAAGGACTACATTGAATTTGTCGAGGGCTACAATCTATTAAAGCGTCCGACGAGCAATGTAAGTGCACACAGACAGAGATAGTTAATTGGGTTGGTCAAATGATTATTGCATTAGTCTCAGTGAAGATGGTAAATGGAATATGAAAGGAAAATAGTAAAGAAAATAGAGAAGGCTAAGGATAAAAGATGGTCTAGTGCAGGCAAATGCCTCAACGGGAAATATTAGGAAGAAAGCTGAAGTTACCTTGGGCCATGTAGAAGCTTAAAGATACGTAAGCCTGGGGGTTCTTTTTACTTATACCTAAGGTAGAGACGGAAGGCCAACCTTGCTTTCACACTGTCTGAAAGTGGGTTGTTCTTTAAGCTAAACCACTATTCTGTCTAATAGAAGTTAGATTATGGAGTACCCATGGCTTCTCTCATTCTATGTTGTCTTCAACGTATGATTTACATTATTTTGAACTTGAATTGACTCCTCTTACTCACGCTCTACACTGTATTCCCTCTGTTTCAGAGTGTGTTGAGTCTCCTTCTCGCCAGCCGTATCATTTTTAATGTAAGCCTGTGTCTAATGTATCGCACTTCCTTTTTTGCAGGCAACTTTAGATAATGGCAGATCCGAATTGGTAGTCGAACCGTCGCCAACGAAAACAGTCATACGTAAAGTTCTTGGCAGCATGGTTTGTGCCTTCATATTTATGAAGTTTGTAAAAATATATCCAGTGAAAAATATGAAAGAAGACGACTTTATCGACGGCAACAGTATACCCTATAAAATCTGGTATGCCATGATGGCAACCACCTGCATACGCTTTAAGTATTATCATGCCTGGCTCCTCGCCGATGCCATATGTAATAATTCGGGTCTGGGTTTCACCGGCTACGACAAGGATGGCAATGCCAAATGGGATCTCATTTCCAATATAAACGTGCTCTCATTCGAGGTGAGTCGAGTGTAGCAGTGTGTAAATAACTATAATTACCAACTCTCTTGCTTTGCAGTTCGCCTCCAACATGCGCGATGCGATCAACAACTGGAATTGCGGCACGAATCGCTGGCTACGCACACTCGTCTACGAACGCGTGCCCAAGAAGTATGGCACTCTGTTGACATTCGCCTTAAGCGCTGTGTGGCATGGCTTCTATCCGGGCTACTATTTGACTTTTGCCACAGGTGCCTTGATGGTAACGGCCGGACGTACAGCACGCCGCATGCTTCGCTATCGATTCCAGAGCACACAGTTCACGCGCATGTTCTACGACATTCTCACCTGCATCACAACGCGCATCGTGATGGGCTACACCACATTCCCATTTGTTATGCTTGAATTTATGGTATGTATAAGCCATTCATATTTGCAATTACTTCTCAAATCTAATGCTGTCCTTTCTCTTAACTCTTCCAGGGCAGTATCAAATTGTACCTGAGATTTTATTTGTGCCTTCATCTTATTTCACTAGTGACCATATTTATTTTACCACGCTTTATACGCGGCGAACAGCGTGCCCAGCGTTCCAGTGGAACGGATGTAACTGCTGGCATAGCCGAGAGCGAGCAAAAATCTTTTGCCGGTCAGCCGCTTCTGGCAGCTCAGAATGATCTCAAAGCCAACCAGCAGGATGTTGCTGATGACGACAAACAACTGTTCGATAAGCATGCTAAACGTAATGACAAAATGCCACAGCAACACCAACAACAACACCAAGAACAACAAATTAGCCAGCCTCTAATACTCCAACCACGCCCACAGCAACAACAGCAGCAGGTGCAATCGCACCAGGTACAACCGGCGCCCCCAACTCCGAATCTGACGTGCGCCCGAGACGCGGTTAGTGTGCCGCATGATCAATGCGAAATGGACCAATTATCGAGCAAACTAAAAGAGAAGATCGAAGCGGAGACCAAAAATATTGAGGAATTTATTGATAAGACTGTTACTGAAACCGTTAGCGGCATCGTTGAATTCAAAAACGATTTGATGCGAGACATTGAGTTTCCCAAACTGAAGCTGGCCGCCGGCCAGGTGACCAGCAGTGCCGCCAACCTAGTGGATGCGGCTGCCGCCGGTCTACGCAAGCGCAACATATCCCATGACAACAATACAAGCAACACGAACTCTTCCAATGCCCAATCGGATCACGACGAGAACGGCAGCAGCAACGGCAATGGCGTGGGTGGGGTCGTCGGCGGAGTTTTCCTCAAAAAGGAAATCGACGTCATCAATGCTGTGGTGCAGCAGGCAAATGTCTTGCCAGCGGTGCTCAGCAACGGCCATGCCAAATAGTAGACCTAAGCGTTAATTTCAACAACTACAGTAAAACGGCAACTGCAACAATTGAAAATTTAACTGTAAAAACGGCTGGGAAAAAAAAATGGAATGATGGAAACTTAGAATTGGGTTTATGAGACGGGGCAAGCACAAAGAGCTTAGATGATGAAGAAAAAACAGCTTAAATACACATACACACGAACACAAAGAAACAAGCACACATACACGCACACACACACAGAATTGCACACGGAACAAATCTAGAAAATATTATTTTGATTTTTCAATTTTATTTGTTGAAAAATTTTGAAAAAGGAAAAAAATTAATTAAACAAATGTAAAATGATGTTAAATACCAAAATTGTAATATTAAAAATAATATTTTAAAATCTGGAACAAAATCAAAAACGCTTTGTTAGCTAGAAAACTTAAAAAAAATATTGTTGATTTTACTTAATTTTTATTTTTTAAATATTTCAATATAACAAAATAATTGTAAAAGCATTAAAATAATTTAAATACTAAAAACAACTAGGGTTCCAGTTTTGATTTGATTCTTGAATTTTTAGAAATGGCAACAATTTAAAAAAATAGAAATAATAGCCAAAAATAATTTGAATAAAAGAAAATCAAATACATTTTGTACATTTATATATATATATATATATAAAGATACATATATATATATATATATTTATATATATATCTATTACGATCCGACAGAAGCAAATTACTTAAACTTATAAATATATATATATATACATAACTTTTGTTAAGTCGGAACGTTTTTGTCAGATCAGCCTCTTTATATATATCGTTGTGTGCATGATGTCAAATTTGTTGTTACCTGTATATGTATGTTTCGATGTATACCTTTGTATATGTATATGTATGTGTATTGCGTATTGTAAGAATTCTTCCAGTATGTACAATTTGTTTAAATGTTTACCATATAGTCTATGTAAGGTCCGGCTTATTTGCAATCAACTGAACAAACGGCACCAACAACAAGCAAATCCTCGATGCAACAAACAAAATATCACACGAAACAACTCAACCAAAACTCAAACTTTAGACTGAAAATCTATTTGAAAAAGTAAAAGAAAAAATAAACAAAAAGATATGAAAACGCGCGTAGTTCAAGCTAGTTTTAAGATGAATTAATTTTATAAATCAATTCGATATTATATACATATATATATTTTCTTCTTCCACAATTTTAAAATCCGTCTATATATATATATATATATATATAAATATATAAATATATATCATATAAATATATATATTGATTGATTGATGATCTTTGTACTTCTATAACTCCCGGTAAAATGTTTTTGCTGGAACTTTTGTATGTTTACATTTCGTTTTAAAAAAGTAAAAGAAAAAGAAGATCGAAGCAAAAGCAACTCCAAATCAACTTTTTAGCTTAAGGCAGTTTACTTTCAGACAATTGTTGTTTATAGTTAAAGAAACAATGAAACAGAAACAACCATCACACGCGTATATATATGTACATCTACATATATGTGTATTTTGTATATTTATAGTAATAAAAGAAAACCACAAAAAAAAAAGATTAACTAAAGCTGTCGCACATTTGTTTCGATTGTTAACGTTGACCTGGCCAAGGACATGAGAAATGCACAACCAAATGAAAGCAAGACAACCAAAAAAAACAAACATCTTCCAGAAAGATAAAACAAACAAATACAAAAATGAAATAAATTGAATTGTGTATGTGTAACGTTATGCGGTCTTATTTTTGTGGACTTCCAGCTAAAATTTCAAAATGAGCGCGCAATTTGAAATTTGCGCACCATTAGGCTCCGCTGGTATCGATGCTTTACTCACTTTGGCAGCATAGCTTATGTACTAAAAATATCGCAACTATCGATATGCTTAGAGCTTTGCACTTGCAGCTTTGGTCAGCTTTCGTTGTTTTCAAGTTGTGTTGTCGGTTTTAGCTGCGATTGTAGCTTATTTTTTAGCATTAAATTGTGTTGCCTTTTTAAAAGTTTTTTAACTGCTATAAACTTGCTAAAATATTTTTTTAAAATGAGAAATAGGTTTTTAAGCTTATTTTATTTAAAATGTAGAAGTTAAGTAAGATAATTAAAATTTAAAAATAATTAAGCTGTCATAATAAATTGGATAAAAAATTAATAAAATAATAAATATAATACAATGAAATAAAATATATATACTCCTTATTTTTGGGACCGTACCTACTTCCGATTTCGCAGCTGTCGTTGTGGCAATAAACAATTATTAACTTTGTTGCACGTGGGGAGCAAGCGATTCGCACATTATTGCCACATGTGAACGGCGGCATTCAATATCCAGACGCAACGCAGACCTCAATCCAGAAGATTGTTGGAAGGGGGAAGCAGGGGGAGTGGCATGTCGTCGCCTTAGTTACATTGTAAAACGTTTTATTGTCGTTGGCAGCTGGCAACGATTTGTTGCTGCTGCCTCCCCCGGCAGCTGCAACTCTAGCAGCGACGTCGTCTCCATCTTTGTCTTCGATGCCAAATTCGAGAATCAGCTCCAAGCTCCTGGGCAAAGGTGTTTGCCGGCGGCGGCTCACTTGACGACAACTGTTATGCTTATCGGATGCTTTGTGAATACGAATTTGGTCATCGACGGTGCGCCGAGGGTTGCCTGCGATTGCTGCCTCTTTGAATTGGACGGCCGCCGCGTGCGGGGGCGTGAGGGGTGTGGCAAATTGCTTTCGGTTGTCAGGCGAAGGCTAACTGGGGGCGTAGGTGCCAACTGCCTTAAAGCTACTAACAAAGTTTGGCCATAAGATAGACTTACCTCCTTTTGGAATGAGGGGCGAAAGCGAAGCGTAGCGGGTATATACGACCAAGGGTTGACCCGTCGTGAGGAGAGAAAATTGTAATTATAATAACAAATATATATATAATAAAGATGGATAAAAAGAGAGAGAGGAGAACGAGGAAAGAGAGAGACATAAAAGAGGGGAAGTGGAGGGAGAGAGACAGAGAGCGAGAGATAGGGAGAGAGCTGTGGGGAGAGAGGGAGAGAAAAGGACAAAGAGAGAGAAGTAGAAAGAGAGACAGCGAGAGAGAGAAAAGAAAAAGATGAGAGAGAGAGAGAGGAGAAACTGCAGAGAGAGAGAGAGAGAGAGATCCAATATAAAGTGGGAGTAAGAGAAACTGAGTGAGCTACATAGCAAATGCGAGAAGAAGAGGGAGAATATATATGTATATCAGTAATACTCACAATCACGTTTAGGCGAAAGGCGAACAAGGTCACGATCAGAATCACACACAATCATCCAACAGAACAGAACGGAAGAGACTCACTTGAATTTATGAAAATCGCATAGAAGCGCTGTAAGTGCTGATAGTTAAATATGCATAAACAGTTGGGATTGCCACATTAAGTTAAAACTAAATTTAGCCTTTGTTATATGATTGAATCAGTGCGAAGACTCAACATGGTTATATAGATTGCTAGACTGATCAGACATCTATATACCCTGTGGCAAATAGTCCCCACTCACACACAGACAACTTTGTTATACCCTTTTTTTTGGCCATTGTTAATGTACACGGTATAAAAAGGGAAGAATGAAATGGCCAGCGGCAAATGGCCAAAAACTTCAGTGTGATTAAATCGCGGGCGGGTCAAAGCGTATAGGGGGATGAAGGTTAGAGACGGGGTGGGAAGAGGTCTGGACTGTGGACTATGTGTAGCTGCAGCCTGAGCAGAAAATCTTATCGTCGCAAAAGGAACTCGTTTCATTTTAGTGCCGCAATCAGCGCTGCTCACTTGCAATGGCCGAGCAAATATTTTACTTTTACTCTTTCGCCTTAGTTGCGAGAGGGTTGAGGGGTGCCGGAGCGGAGGGCGGAGGGTGGAGTGCTGAGGCAGCTGGCTAATGCGATGCGGAAAGTGTGCCACAAGCATAAAGCGCCGAAAGACGCTGACAACGGAATCAAATACAAAAAAGAGGAAGAATGCGACAACTGTTTAGGAGAAACGAGAGATAGGGAGGGGGAGGGGGAGGGGGAGGGAGAGTGAGAGAGTGAGAGAGGTAGCTAGGTTGCTAGGTGTTGGGAGTAGTTCAGCTGCCCAGCAAAGTTAAAATTAAATTAGCGTTTCTTTTTCTTTGCTCTTTACTTATTTTCGTTCAGCAAAGGTATTCAGCAGTTGCCTTGCTTCTAGCCTAAGTCTTCGCCTCTCTCTCTCCCTCTCTCTCTGTCTCGCCCGCTTCCTCTTTCTCTCTGTGTCACTGTCACTGGCGCTACTTAGCCAAATTAAAATGGCAGCGATTCTTTTAGCTGCTTTCCCTCCTGCTCCTCTACGCCTTCTCCTTTCTTCTCCCATTTTTTTTATAGCATTTTGCATTTATGCTTGTTTAAGCAAATGCCGTGTTATCGCTGGACTGTAGCCTCGTCTGCCTGAACCTGAACCTGTACCCACCTCCTGCTCTCTCTCTCTCGTCAGCTTCCTGGTCGTATCTCTGTTTGCGTTTTGCATCTTCAGCTCGAATCGCAAGGATAATGCGCGTAATTGTTGTCCGTGCCTGGTAATTGGCATATAAAAAAATGTTGGCTATTACAAAAAAAGAGGAAAATTCGAATTTGGCAGTGGGAATTCTGGAGCTGAGAGTTACTTAGTCAACATTCTCTGCTGTTGAAGCCAATTTACTGAAAAGTCATTGGACAAGGTTGGATGAGATAGAAAATTTAGCTTTGATCAGTTTAACATATCTTTGGAATAATGAGGAAGGAGAGTAATCGATAAATATCGATGGTCGGTGAAGAAGGCAATTGCGAAAATACCTTTAAATAAATATCGATAGCTGGCCAATATTATGTTGAACTTAAAACATTTTCAATTTGCAATTTTAAATCAAACTTTTATAAGCACTTATCAATAGCTAAAGACTTTATTAGTAAATATCGATATATTTGATTTTCGATAAGTAATATGGAGTCTTACAAGAGTCTTTTACATTCCGTTCTCTCTACTTACGTATACTCAATAACTGCTTAATAACTGTAGACTCATGTGTCTCACTTTTTCGTCGCCAGGTGTCGCTTTAACTGCACCGGCATCAATTGCCAGCAGACAGATGCGCATTCAATGGGAAACGTCGAGCAGCTGGCAAATATGTTTGCTCAACTGCTTCAACTTTCGCTCTCTTTTGCCAGCCACTCGACACACATCTGGCAGTGGGAGGGGCGATGGGGCAGTGGGGCACTGGAGGAGT